AATTAATTCTGATTTTGTTTTGAATTAATTCTGATTTTGTTTTGAATTAATTCTGATTTTGTTTTGAATTAATTTTGATTTTGTTTTGAATTAATTCTGATTTTGTTTTGAATTAATTCTGATTTTGTTTTGAATTAATTCTGATTTTGTTTTGAATTAATTCTGATTTTGTTTTGAATTAATTCTGATTTTGTTTTAAATTAATTCTGATTTTGTTTTGAATTAATTCTGATTTTGTTTTGAATTAATTCTGATTTTGTTTTGAATTAATTTTGATTTTGTTTTGAATTAATTCTGATTTTGTTTTGAATTAATTCTGATTTTGTTTTGAATTAATTCTGATTTTGTTTTGAATTAATTCTGATTTTGTTTTGAATTAATTCTGATTTTGTTTTAAATTAATTCTGATTTTGTTTTGAATTAATTCTGATTTTGTTTTGAATTAATTCTGATATTGTTTTGAATTAATTCTGATTTTGTTTTGAATTAATTCTGATTTTGTTTTGAATTAATTCTGATTTTGTTTTGAATTAATTTTGATTTTGTTTTGAATTAATTCTGATTTTGTTTTGAATTAATTCTGATTTTGTTTTGAATTAATTTTGATTTTGTTTTGAATTAATTCTGATTTTGTTTTGAATTAATTCTGATTTTGTTTTGAATTAATTCTGATTTTGTTTTGAATTAATTCTGATTTTGTTTTGAATTAATTTTGATTTTGTTTTGAATTAATTCTGATTTTGTTTTGAATTAATTCTGATTTTGTTTTGAATTAATTTTGATTTTGTTTTGAATTAATTCTGATTTTGTTTTGAATTAATTCTGATTTTGTTTTGAATTAATTTTGATTTTGTTTTGAATTAATTCTGATTTTGTTTTGAATTAATTCTGATTTTGTTTTGAATTAATTCTGATTTTGTTTTGAATTAATTCTGATTTTGTTTTGAATTAATTCTGATTTTGTTTTGAATTAATTTTGATTTTGTTTTGAATTAATTCTGATTTTGTTTTGAATTAATTCTGATTTTGTTTTGAATTAATTCTGATTTTGTTTTGAATTAATTCTGATTTTGTTTTGAATTAATTCTGATTTTGTTTTGAATTAATTCTGATTTTGTTTTGAATTAATTCTGATTTTGTTTTGAATTAATTCTAATTTTGTTTTGAATTAATTCTGATTTTGTTTTGAATTAATTCTGATTTTGTTTTGAATTAATTCTGATTTTGTTTTGAATTAATTCTAATTTTGTTTTGAATTAATTCTGATTTTGTTTTGAATTAATTCTGATTTTGTTTTGAATTAATTCTGATTTTGTTTTGAATTAATTCTGATTTTGTTTTGAATTAATTCTGATTTTGTTTTGAATTAATTCTGATTTTGTTTTGAATTAATTCTAATTTTGTTTTGAATTAATTTCGATTTTGTTTTGAATTAATTCTGATTTTGTTTTGAATTAATTCTGATTTTGTTTTGAATTAATTCTGATTTTGTTTTGAATTAATTCTGATTTTGTTTTGAATTAATTCTGATTTTGTTTTGAATTAATTTTGATTTTGTTTTGAATTAATTCTGATTTTGTTTTGAATTAATTCTGATTTTGTTTTGAATTAATTCTGATTTTGTTTTGAATTAATTCTGATTTTGTTTTGAATTAATTCTGATTTTGTTTTAAATTAATTCTGATTTTGTTTTGAATTAATTCTGATTTTGTTTTGAATTAATTCTGATATTGTTTTGAATTAATTCTGATTTTGTTTTGAATTAATTCTGATTTTGTTTTGAATTAATTCTGATTTTGTTTTGAATTAATTTTGATTTTGTTTTGAATTAATTCTGATTTTGTTTTGAATTAATTCTGATTTTGTTTTGAATTAATTCTAATTTTGTTTTGAATTAATTCTGATTTTGTTTTGAATTAATTCTGATTTTGTTTTGAATTAATTCTGATTTTGTTTTGAATTAATTCTGATTTTGTTTTGAATTAATTCTGATTTTGTTTTGAATTAATTCTGATTTTGTTTTGAATTAATTCTGATTTTGTTTTGAATTAATTCTGATTTTGTTTTGAATTAATTCTAATTTTTCAGATTTTGTTTCTTTTTACCTGTTCAGAATTAAATATCTATAAACAAATTGGGCACACAATCCATACAAATTTACAATGTAAAAAGAGTTTACGATAAATAAATAACTTAAGCAAATGATTTTGTTGAAATTATTTTTCATGAATTCAAAGAAAATGCCATTAGTAAAAATAAAAATTGCATTCCCATTGCTGTCACTTAGGTAAATCTTAAAGTTCAAATTTAATTCTGAATTTCTAAAAGTTTAACCATTTGCAATAACATTATAAACGTCAATAAAAAAATATCCAAAACACAATTTTGTATCAGAATTCTGCTGTGTGTTTTCATTTCATTTGGTGTTTTAAAAATAATTAAAATAATCAGAATAATGTTTAGTGGATAACCAAGTAATAAGCATGTCCAATAATCAAATTTTAATAAAATATCTATTAAATCACCGGACATTTTTTCAAATTTTTAGAAATTGTTTTATTTACAATTTTTTAAAATATTTTAAAAGATAATTTCGTTGAATTAAATTTAAAAATTTTAACCTGCCATTTATATAAGTACATTCTAAAAGGCAAACAAAAAATATTTTTCTATTATAGTATATAATTATTAGAAGCAAATTGTTTAAATTTTAACTGCCAACGCTTAAAAATTTCTTAGAATCTTTTTTAAATACTTATATGTAACACTATTATTAAAAATGTTTATTTTACTTAAAATTCTTTTTTTTTAATCTGGAGGTGAAAATTAAAATACCGTATTTGCTCTATTAATCCCCCAGTCTTTATTAATCCCCCAGGCTCTATTAATCCCCCACCCTGGAGATGGGTTGAAACAATAATCCCCCTGGGGGATTACTAGAGCAAATACGGTATATTAAAAATCAGAATATTTTATAAATTTATCACAATTAAATAAATTTGGTCACGAAAATTACCAAATTTTTAGTTTGTAGTAAGTCCAAATGCATATTTTTAGTCCTATGGACAGTTGAATTGGGTTGTGTTGGCCCAATCTGGGCTAAAATATTGAAAATATGGACAAAATGCCCATTTTCATTAAATTATTCAGAAATTTATACTCAAAAAAGGATTTCCTTTCTTTTACTACGCTTAGCGCAAGATCCGAACAATTTTTGCTTCAAAAAGTTAAGTGAAGAGGTTAGAGTTTGCATACTTAAATGAGCAGATATGTCAAATAAACGTTCTAAATTTTTAATTCAAATAAGAATACAACAAAAAATGTAAAATTGCGATCATACAAAAATACATTTAAAAAATTATCTAAAATAATTTTAACTTAATTTCAAATATTATTTGCCACATATAATTCCTATTAATATATGTAATAATTTTAAATATATTTTTCAAAATTTTCTTTAAGCATTAAGTTAATTAATTAATTTCTCCATTGATTTCTCCTGTTCATTCTTGCGCAATTCACCATTGCTCAAAAACAATGCTTCATTCTAAATTACATACATATTAATTTATTTTGTTCTGGTTGCATTATTGTTCAAAAATATCAGAGAATTCAGTAAAGACTGTTATTTCTCTAAATCGCCCAAAAATATTTTTAAATGTAATTCGTAATAGAGATCGGATCGAGACGAGATCTCGATTGAAAATCTCGGGTATCGAGATTTATAATTTTTCGAGATCTTGATTCTAGTACGAGATCTCCGTTGATTTTTGATGTTCATCTCGATTCTCGCGAGCACACATTGAGGCAAAGTAAATGTTTGCTCGCGACACCCAGTCCGGTCTCTAATTCGAAAGTTTCTTTTCGATTTGTAATGAAACCGAAGAGAAAGGATTTCCGGTTCTTTCCACTTTACAACAAGATTTTCACAAATAGTTTCAATCCGTACTAACACAGACTGTTTCTATTTGCGAGTCAAAAGTCTTCTAAATACCTCCAAATTAATGATTCTACTAATATTTAGGACCATTACAAAGATGAATCATAAAAAGAATTCATCCGAAAATGTTAACGTAAATCCCCTACAAATCCTGACTATTACTAAACACTCATTCAACAAATTAAAAATTTTGTATAAAATACCAACAGAATTTGATTGTTCATCCTTTTTTGCACTAGCAGACCCATTACTAGCCTTATCAGTTCGATATTTTGTCTTTCCACCTCTCAAAACATAGGCATGAAGAAAGAAATTAATGAATAGGATTAAATAACTGACTATAATAAATTATTAAGAAAATTTTTTATAATTTATTTTTGGAATATACCATCCATACTAACAGCAAATGCAAAAACTTTACTATCCAAATCGCATTTAACCTGAATAGAATTTTGTTAAAAACTGGACACAACCGTTATTACCGTATTTACTCTGGTAATTCCCCAGGGGGATTATTGTTTCAACCCATCTCTAGGGTGGGGAATTAATAGAGACTGGGGAATTATTAGAGTGGGGTAGAAAGAGGGGGATTATTGTTTCAACCCATCCCCAGGGTGGGGAATTAATAGGGACTGGGGAATTAATAAAGACTGGGGATTACTAGAGTAAATACGGTAACTGGCACCCACAATATCAGGGCTATTATTTTCAATCTCCGGTTTTCCGTTCCGGTTCAGTTAACCCTAGTTATATTTATCAATATTCTATTATTGCAAAATCCTTTTTTAGTTTTTCGGTTATTCATTAAGGTTGTCGGATAGTTGAAAATCTTCTTATATCCGGAACCGGTATCCGAACCGAAAATTTCCGGACATCCGGCCTTATTATTCATTTCTATTCGAATAACATTCTTAAATTAACAATTGATAGTTAAAAACGATTTAAACTCTAATGATAATAAGGGTTGTCGGTTCTTGGGACTGAATTTATGTATAGGATATCAAGGATCAAACCAAAGAACCGGGGATTTTTTTGCAGTTTTTCGGTTCGAAACCGTCGACTATACTAATAATCTTATGCAAGTTTTCATTAACACAAAAATAAATTTTACATTTTCTACAAAAGTTAACCATCCAAGATGTATTAGAATGGCAACAGAAATAATAAATTGCCAAATTTGAATAGTGGTTACAAATTTAGCAACTGGGCCAGGCACTTTAATTTTCATTGAACGAAGAAAATAATACTTTAAAATAATAAAAAAATTTATTTTAACTTAAAATCACTAACAGAGTACATATATGAATGTACCAAATAGTTTAGGTAAATGCCCCAACGATTGAATGCTGGTGTGATAGGGTAGGAATAGAAGGCATACAGCATTGTCTAGAATGAAAAAATAAAGTTAATTTATTATTTACTAGGATTTTCAAAATTAAATTTTTTAACAATTTTTATAAATTATTCAGAGGAATTTTTATTTTTAAAATAAAAAAGTCAGAACCCGTTGAGCCCTGGCCTAAGATTAAAATAAACATTAGGTAGATTATTATGTAAGTATACAAAATCTATTAGAGCCGTAGACAAATATCAATTAGACAAATACCTATTAGAGAGTGGGCTCTAATAGGTATTTGTCTACTTACATAGTAATCTACTAATGTTTATTTATATAAAATGCAGGTTTGTATTCTCAGAAATCACATATAATATCGAAAAATAGAACCAATCGCTAGAAACTAATTGAGGTCCTGATGAGATGTCCTCCAAAGCAAAATTAAGTAAAATCTCTGCAAACAACATAGGTAGGGTGGGAGGAAAATTTTGAAAATTAAAAATAGGGCAGTTGTCTGTAAAAATTTTTTAACCGATGAACTTGGTCTCTCAGACTGATTATTTGTGCAAAGTTATATGTATTTCCGAAAATTTATAATAAACTTACAAGAATGTGGTGGTACCAGTGAAGGAAAAGTAATGGCCGTTTCCTCAGTACCTAAAATATTCCTTAACACCGAAAAAAATCTAAACTTGCCAAAAAGACAGTATCCATCAATTCAAACATTTTACTGACAATAAAAAGCCAGACCCAATATCCGTTTGTTCCAAGAGTATAATTATGGACATGGCAATAAGAACCTTTAAAAATTGGAATAGATAATGAGAGATAAGAAGGTTTTGCCAAATTAAGACTAAAAATTTGTAAATATGTAGACACATTGAAATTTGTTTGCGGATCCCATATGCGGGATTTTTTCTAAAAATCTTTCAGGGGATGAATTCCGAGAGATATCTCCCGGAATTCTGCATTAAAACGTATACCTGTATGAATTAATGCTTTAACAATAAAGTAAGGATTAACTCTTAGACAAAGTAAATATTAAGTTGAAAGTTCCCTACTCTGTAGTCCATGTGTCAAAATTGTTTCAAAAAATTCATAACTAAGTTTAAAAGCTCCCATGGTTGAGAAAATGGCGAGAAAAAGGTTCCAAACATTTAAAGGAACAAACAGAGAGAAAGGTTCTCTATTGCGCATAAAATGCCTCGTTCCAAAAACAACAATAACATAAAGAATGCAAAGCTGATAAATTAAAGATATTTTTCTCAAGATTTCAAAAGGCTTGAATATATAGTCTTGGGATATACATATATCCTCGGGTATATCAGAAATAGTAATTATAACGTCGTGTGATTTAAAAAAGTAGTAGTTGATAGGTATCCACTACGTTTGTAACCGGTCCCTGTCCCCGAAAGTCGGGGAATTTGAGAGATCTTCCACATCCGCCCCCCCCCCGTGGCGTTGGCTCCTCGAAAATCCGAGCTAGTCCCACTTCCAGTATAGTGGGCAATTAAGTTCACACTTTATCTAGTACGGTTGTTGGGAGTGGATCTTGCTACCAATAAGTGGTTCTGGAGATCCGAAGATTATTATCTCGTATTGGATAATTTTTAGTAGATCAAACAAATTGTGAACCTGTATAGTTAAGGGATATCTGTCATCAACCCATTTACGTGCTTCGACTTCAGGAAAATCAGAAGATGTTAGAATTTCAACAAATTTTAAAGTATTGAAATCACGTTGAGTTGTTATATTTTGCCAAAGAGAAGGAAGTTTATTAATTTGAGATTCAGCAATTTCAAGCATTTTAGTTGCAAAATAATGAAGCCCTAAAAATAAATAATCTATAAAAATTTCTGTGATAAAACAAGGTAAATATGGGAAAATCTAATCGTGTTCTGCTCAGCTTTCCAAGAGCTTACCCAAGGGTTCTCTTCTGTACCCAGGTCTTCTCTTATTTCTCTTTCAGGGTTCATTAATAATTTAACGAGGAGACCCGAAAGGGATAGATACTATTGAAATTTAAAAAATAAAGTATAAAAAAACTAGGCTTATTCAAGCCTAGGGCTTCAATAAATTTATCCTAGCCCAAACTTCTACCGAATACTAGAGAGCGACTGGATCTGGATCCAGATCCTATTTTTCCTGGGTTTAGTTTCAAGATCAAGGCATTTTTTAGAGTTTCTTGATTTTTCCTTGACAGAGGATCAAGAATCTGGACAAGTTCCTCAATTAAAATCTTGGTCAAGGATCAAGGTTAAGATTTTCTGAAAATCTCGCTCTCTATATATTGAATACATAAAGCCTTATTTGAATAAAGCTACCGATTCTCTCCATATTTTACAATTAAACTTTAATATTTAATTTCTATCAAATATTAATTAATAAAAATGTAAAAAAATAAAATAAGACTAAAACTAAAGCAAATATTAATGGACAGAAAATTGTTATAATAAATTTATGTTTTAGTGACAAGAAAAAATGAGAAGATTTATTATTATTAACGATCACCCCACTAAATAAATAAATAATTTATTGCTTATATGTAATATTAAAAATAGAAATAGTACATATATAATTATGTTTATTCTTTGTACCTTTTTTTATCTCACTCCATTTTAATATTAATAATTGATATTAAAAAATAGAAAGATTAACATCAATATAATGTTTTTAAACTTAACTTCTATTGTATAAAGTTTTTTTTATATAAAAACTTAATTTTCAAAAAAACAATCATAAAAATTCAAAAACAAAAACCAAAAACTAAATTATAAAGTTTGTAATGGTTTCAAACTTTTTTTACATTTCAAAGTTTTCAAAATTTTCGCCGACAGCGTAAAGAAAAGAATCTGAATCCAAACCCATCTAAATCACCTCCAAAAGCTCCCGGACAATCCGACAGTGGACAATCCGGCAGTGGAAAGTCCGTCAGTGGACAATGCGTCAGTGTTCGGACAATCGGTCAGTGGACAATCCGTCAGTGAACAAATTTATAATTCTCACCCATACCCAAAATACCGCGGGATACCCTCCAAATACCCTCCAATTCCACGATATCCTTCTAAAGCCATCGACATTCGCGTAATTCAACAAAATTGCCCACTGATATGCTTTTAATCCACCTAAATCTCCCGATTTCCTCATTAATCTCCATATTTTCGTTATCTCTTATAACCTTTACATGAAAAAATGAAAATTTTTGGCCGCGGTATTTTGTGTATGGGTGAGAATTATGAATTTGTTCACTGACGGATTGTCCACTGACCGATTGTCCGACCACTGACGCATTGTCCACTGACGGATTTTCCACTGCCGGATTGTCCACTGACGGATTGTCCGGTCACGCCTCCAAATCCTCTAAATCCTTTAGAATTTATTTTATTCTAAATAAATTCCCGAAAACTCTTGTTGTCAAAGATAACGATTCACGAATACCGAATTTATTTTGTTAATATGATAAATTCCTGGCATGTATGAAAGATCCCAATGTTGTTGCCATTGACAAATTTTAATGTCTGACTCAGTTGGCTGGCACTCCGTACAGCATATATCTAATCCGATTCGATAAAAATTTAAACTCATACTGGGGTTTAATGTCTGGAGTAGTAAAAAACATATTCTGTATTATGAATGATCTTAATGGATCACAAAAACAGAGATAAATTAATTAACGGACAAATACGTTGAAATTTAAAGCTGTAAAACAATAATTTCAGCCCATCTTCTCTTCAATTTCTAGACATTTTTTAAAAAATATATTTACATATTATTTATATATTTTATTAATTATGCACTTTTAACTCTGTTAATTACATAATAAAATCAATTAATTTATTCACTTGTTTTTATTATAGACTGATTGCGCAAGTCGTGTGAGAGTCTCTCATTAAATGCCCTTTAATTTTTATTTTGAAATGATGAGTGTTTATTTTTTATTTAAATAGCTATAGCTGAATAACACTTTAAAATTATTTTTTATATTAGTCTATTTTTTTATGTTGTAAGTAAGGCAAAGTTTTATCCCTCCTAACAATTAAAGCAAAGTCTTCTCTTATTTCTCTTCCAGTGTTCCCTTATAGTGATAACGAAGAGATCCGGAAGGGGCTAGTTCTCCTTGTCACTATCATGTCCAATCCAATCCTTGACTATTTTCTGGGATGCGGTTAGACCGCTTTACTATTTTATATTATTTAATCCTTACATCTGATTCAGCTAATATATAAATTTTCTAATTGATCATAACTTTTTTATTTTTAACTAGAAATTAATTTTTAGCTCAAAAACTAAAATGATAAAATTGTTTAATTATTTCATTTTAATTTTTTTATTGTTGTACATATTTTGCGTTGAATCAACAAAAACTGGTAATTAATATTTAGCTAGACAGAATTCCTCCCATTCATCAAAATAGAAAATTTCAAAAATCAAAATGTTCGAAATCTTAAATTGAAAAGGATTTATGACGTTCCACCCAATGCTGGTTCTAGCTGTTTTTCCAAATCTTGATTCCATTTGCGGAGTTAAAAAGCCTATACTTGTTCCAACCAGTGTTTATAAATTTCAGACTTGCTCGTACTTGTACTTCGTACCATCCCATTTTTGGCCTAAGTACGAGTACGAATTTTGGTACGAGCTTATAAACACTGGTTGCAACAACGGACATGCCTATTAGGCCGTTCTCAGTCCGGAGCTACCCCAGTATTAATCAACTTATGTTCCTCACTCCTGGTGTGTTTCATGGTAAAAATAGTATAAAAAATATAGTCCTCAGCCTTTTCAAAATTTTACTCATAAATTTAAATAATTTAAGATGTAAAAGTCAACGATCTTTACGTTGATTTGTTTACTGAAACTGTAATAGATAAAAACAATTTGAGAGCTGGAAAAATTAAAAGAGTTAATTTTTTGGTTTTTGTTGAGGTTGTAGAAGATAAAATAATTTTGATTAAAAAAATAATAAAAAAATTGAATGAAAATGTTAAAAAACAAAATAAGCCTAAAAAAGAAAAAATTTTTGAGAATTTAAAGAAAATTGTTAACATGATTGATGAATGTAAAAATTTTATTGAAGAAGTTGAGGGAGAAGAAAAGATTGCAAATAATTGGGATATTTGCCATATTTGGGAATTCTACGAAACTTTAAGGTAGTTAAATTTAAAAATATAATTTAACTAGTGAAATTTACAAGAAATCGTTATAAGACTCAAAATTCTCCAGAACCAAGTTGTATTTATTTTTCTCTTTACTTTCATGATTTTGGAAAGGGAAAGTTTAATCAAAGAGTAAAGGTAATCTCCAGAGACAAAGCTTGTTGAAACCGATCCATGTTTGCTCAGTGTTGTGTAGCGGTTTAGTGATAGTATAAAAGCCAGTGTAAGCGTCATGGATCATACTAGCGGGGCTAGTCACTAATCTCCTTCGTCTGTTTCGAGCTTTTCCATTCCTTCGCCTTCATTGTTAATTTCTACACCTGATAAACTTATTCTGGAGAACACCGACATTAGTTAAATCTCGGCCAAAACTCTGACATAACACTCAGGCTTTTGTTAAATTTATTTTTTATAGATCCTATAACATAAGGGCGGCTGCCTTAGATTTTTAATTACAATAGCTCACCGGAATAAAAAAAGCCCCATAACGAGAAAATGTAATCAGAGGATTTAAAAATTAATATAGTATCCTTCTCAAAAATTTTCAGCCACCTCGAATATGAATTGGCGAGTAAAATTCATGCAAACCTGCAATTAGAAATAAAAATAGATTTGCCAGGCAAATGTGAGGATTTAAGAAAATCGAGTTCAAAAAATAATAAAAGAAAAAAACAATTACCAAAATGGATACCAGTCTTCGAAAAAGCAATTTTTGAAGCTCATTTTAAACATCTTAAAATGAGTTTATTCCTTAATGAAGAAAATAAAGTTTCAAAAATTGCAGAAAGAATAGAGGGAATATTAGAGAGAGATGGGCTTTTAGAAAAAAGAAATTTATCCGAAATTTTTGAATTGAATTCTGAGACAAGTAAGAGCATTTAGAAAATATAAAGACGTTAAAAAAGCATTGGGACTGAAGAAACTTATCTTGCATTATGCATAAAGACGCGATACGAGATGAGATGATGAGACCCGATCCGAGATGCCAGGCGTAAGAAAAAAACGCGGCCATCGAAATCCCACTAGACCGCCTATAACTCTGCTTATCTCCAAAATCCCTTTTAAATTACTCAAAATGAGTACTGATTTTACGCGGAAAATAAATCATAACTTATAGTTTATTAGAAAATTTTCTTATATTTTTAAATAGATATAGCCGCATAAAATAGATATAGCCTCGGCTCAAGTCCTGGGGGTCTTGAACTTGAGTCGATCGATCATAGAAACAACTCTATCACCAATTCGAGCTACCTCTAAATAATTATTATCAATTAAGCAACTTCACTAACATTTGAAGACAATGTTACCCTTAACGACAATATTGTTGAGGCACTCTATATTACTCTTTTTGGAGAGCCATATGGTACAATCAAAACTATAAATGCCGAATGTCTTTTAAGCATTAATTTATTGTTTGATTTAATTGTAGAAGAATGTTCAAAAAATAAATTTTTAATGAAACAGTTAAATATTTTATGGAATATAGCACATCCTGCATTGAAAAAATTAGTTAAAGAAGAGGGGGTGACTGAAATTGTTTTGGAATTGAATGAATTTTTAGAATTGATGCAAGCAAAAAATTGTAAGAAACACATAAAATAAATGATCGTAAAATATTCCTTAACGGAATATTTTGCCTCAACAATATTGTCGTTAAGGAATATTTACGATCATTTTCCCCAAAAACGTCCATTGTAGATACCATAGATATAGGTATGTAATTATGTGCTACACTAAACTGCCTGCGTCTATTTTTCTGTCCCCTCAGGATAAAAGCAATATATAGATTAAGAATCGTGCTTCTAATACAGACTGTTGTTCTGTATTTCGGGGTTTCTCCGAGAGTTACCGCCAACAGGCACGAATAAAAGTTTATCCAAAGTAGAATTAACAATATAGGCGATAAAACGAGTCAATTTTTAGACACAAACTTACCTCTACAAAAACTTATACATATAACGCCACGGGAGTGCTCTGTTTTGGGCATTTTCTCGACTCCGCCCGGCTCCAGCTCCGGGGCTTCGAAATCTTAGCTCCGGCTCCGCTGCTAGCTCCCGGAGCTATAGAAGCACTAACCACAGGTTCTATTAATGCGCTGATAGTAATAATTAAATTCCTGTTATTAATTAACTTATGATATGATGGATTCATATAAAAATATAAAATTAAAAGTCACGGACAGGACGTTTCAATTTGATTAAATTTTAAATATTTTTAGCTTCAACTAAAGAAAAACAAAAAATAACGCAAACAAAAAAAGAAAGTCATACCCAAAATGAAAATCCTCTACAATCAATTATTCGCCCCAAATTATTTGAATCACATAAAAATCAGATTTATGATCTTTATAACGAAAGAAGCAATTTTAATTCATTCATTAACAATAGATGGGGTGGAAGGATGTTGATTTTTAAATTTTTCCATGCATATGAATTAACTGAAGGATATATAAATTTCTTGAATTATATTCTCTATTATGGTAAATGTTTAGTAGTTCTTGTATAAGATTGGCGGTTCCGAGTATTCGGAACCGAAAAAACATGGATATCCGAAATCTCCGGTTCGGAAATTTCCCTGGAACCGCCATCCTTATTTTTGTATACTCTTCGGATATCAGGAAAAGAAGAACAAAAATTTTCGGTTCCGAGAATTATTTAAAAAAAATTTCTGTGCCGTGTAAAATTAATATTACCATGTTTCATTTATGTTCACTTTTATGACCTTGAATGTTTCTTACAGCATGAAAACCCCGAATTTAGAAGCCGGACTCAAACAATATTTTACCTATTTTTATACGTTACTCAGAGGAATTTATTTTTAAAATGAAAAAATGAGCCCTGGCCTAAGATTAAAATAAACATTAAATTACTAGATTAATATTAAAGCCCGCAAAAGGGCTGGTTTGTATTTTTTAAAAATCGCATATGATATCAAAAAATAGAACCATTCACTTAAAACTAATTGAGGTCCTCATGGGATTTCTATTCAAAACAAAATTAAATCTCTGCAAAAAATATGAATAGGTTTGGAGGATAATCTTAGAATCAACTATGTGGCAGTGAAGATTCATGCTTCTTTATGTCGGTACAGGTTTTGTTAACCTATTAGTTTTATTAAACCGAAAACGTAAATCCAAAGATAAAAATGATCTATTTTGACCAAAGTTATTTCTCCAAAAATTTATAATAAACTCACGAGTACCAGTGAAGAAAAAGTAATGGCCGTTTCCTCAATACCTAAAATATTCCTTAACCAATACAAAAATTCTGAACTTGCCAAAAAGACAGTATCCATCAATTCAAACATTTTACTAACAATAAAAAGCCAGACCCAATATCCGTTTGTTCCAAGAGTATAATTATGGACATGGCAATAAGAACCTTTAAAATTTGGAAGTAGATAATGGGAGATAAGAATTTTTGCCAAATTAAGGACTAGAAATTTCGTAATATCTAGACAAATTGAAATCTGTTTGAGGCTCCGCATGCGGGATTTTTCCTATAAATCATTCAAGGGATGGATTCTAGAAATGATCGCAAAACCGTCACGAAAACCCCGAAAAATCAAAAAGATGTGGGATCGTTGGAGCAGGATTCTACAAAATCTTAAACAGTATTCCTTCACGCGCATATCACACTCTAAAAATAAAAAGTTGACTTTTTTGAAATTTTGACCGTTTGGATGAAATTAAAATTTTTTACTTTTTGGATTAAGCAACTCAAATAGGTATGCAAAATTTCATATCTCTATACCCCTTGTGAGTTATCGCTTTAAAAAAGTTCATATATTTGGGCAAGTTTGACTTACAAAGTACTTCATATTAATTTAAAAGTTTCTACTCTGTAGTCCATGTGTCAGAATTGTTTCAAAAAATTCATAACTAAGTTTAAAAGCTCCCATAGTTGAGAAAGTGGCAAGAAAAAGGTTCCATACATTTAACGGAACAAACAGAGAGAATGGTTCTCTATTGCGCATAAAATGCCTCGTTCCAAAAACAACAATAACATAAAGAATGCAAAGCTGATAAATTAAAGATATTTTACTCAAGATTTAAAAAGGCTTGAATATATAGTCTTGGGATATACATATATCCTCGGGTATATCAGAAATATTAATTATAACGTCGTGTGATTTAAAAAAGGAGTAGTTGTTAGTTATCCACTAGGGTTGTACCCGGTCCCCTAAAGTCGGGGAATTTGAGAGATCGTCCACGTCCCCCCCCCCCCCCCCCCACCTGGCGCTACCTCCTCAAAAATTCTCCCCGTGGCCCCTCTCCCCGTCGGGGAACAACCCTAGCATTGACCGATCTAGACCCACTTCTCGTATACTGTGCTATAACGATTACAGTTTATCTAGTATGAATGTTGGAAGTGGATCTGGCTACCAATAAGTGGTTCTGAAGATCCGAAAATTATTATTTTGTATTGGATAATCTTATATTGCAATCAAACAAATTGAGAACCTGTATAGTTAAGGGATATCTGTCATCAACCCATTTACGTGCTTCTACTTCAGGAAAATCAGAAGCTGTTAAAATTTCAACAAATTTTAAGGTATTGAAATCACGATGAGTTGTTATATTTTGCCAAAGAGATGGAAGTGTATTAATTTGAGATTCAGCTGTTTCAAGCATTTTAATTGCAAAATAATGAAGTCCTAAATCAAATTATAAAATTTCCGTAATAAAACAAAGCAAAAATTGAAAAATCTAACAGTGTTCTAGAGCTTAACCAAGGGTCACTTCTGTATCCAGGCTTTTCTTATTTCTCTTCGAGGGTTCCCTAAATGTGTTAGGGAAGAGACACGAATACTAGAGGGAAGAGACACGAAGAGACACGAATACTAGAGGGAAGAGACACGAATACTTCTATCGAATACTAGAGAGCGAGCTGGATCTGGACCCAGACCATGATTTTTCTTGAATCTATTTTCAAGATCAAGGCATTTTTCACAGTTCCTTGATTTTCCTTGACACAAGGTCAAGAATCTGGTCAAGAATCTGGTCAAGATCCTCAATTAAAATCTAGGTCAAGGTTAAGGTTTCTTTAAAAATCTCGCTCTCTATTGAATAGGGAACTACCCTATTTGAATAAAGCTACCGATTCTCTCCATATTTTAAAATTAAACTTTAATATTTAATTTTTATCAAATATTAATTAATAAAAATGTAAAAAAATAAAACTAAAACTAAAACTAAAGCAAATATTAATGGACAGAAAATTGTTATAATAAATTTATGTTTTAGTGACAAGAAAAAATGAGAAGATTTATTATTATTAACGATCACCCCACTAAATAAATAAATAATTTATTGCTTATATGTAGTATTAAAAATAGAAATAGTATAATTATTATTATTCTTTGTACCTTTTTTTTATCTCACTCCATATTAATATTAATAATTGATATTAAAAAATAGAAAAATTAACATCAATATAATGTTTTTAAACTTAACTTCTATTGTATAAAGCCTTTAAATTAGGCCTTAAGTTTTTGAAAAAAAATCCAAAAACAAAAACCAAAAACTAAATTATAAAGTCTGTAATGGTTGTCAAACTTTTTAACATTTTATAGTTTTCAAAATATTCGCCGAAAGCGTAAAGAAAAGAAATCTGAATCCAAACCCCTCTAAATCACCTCCAAATCCTCTAAATCCTTTAGATTTTATTTTATTCTAAATAAATTCCCGAAAACTCTTTTTGTCAGAGATACCGATTCACGAATACCGAATTTATTTTGTTTATATGATAGATTCCTGGTATGTATGAAAGATCCCAATATTGTTTCCATTGACAAATTTTAATGTCTGACTCAGTAGGCTGGCACTCCATACAGCATATATCTAGTCCGATTCGATACAAATTTAAACTCATACTGGGGTTCAATGTCTGGAGTAGTAAAAAACATATTTTGTATCTTGAATGATCTTAATGGATCCCAAAAATAGAGACAAACTAATTAAAGGACAAATACGTTGAATTTAAACCTGTAAAACAATAATTTCAGCCCATCTTCCCTTCAATTTCTAGACATTTTTAAAAAAATATATTTACATATTATTTATATATTTTATTAATTATGCACTTTTAACTCAGTTAATTACATAATAAAATCAATTAATTTATTCACATGTTTTTAAATAGACTGATTGCGCAAGTCGTGTGAGAGTCTCACATTAAATGCCCTTTAATTTTTATTTTGAAATGATGAGTGTTTATTTTTTATTTAAATAGCTATAGCTAAATAACATATAAAATTATTTTTTTATATTAGTCTATTTTTTTTATGTTGTAAGTAAAGGCAAAGTTTCCTCCCCTCGTAACCAGAGGTGGGTCGGAACTGTCAAAGGTGCTGAAATCGGAAGAGCCGGAAATCGGAACTGGCTCAAAAGTCGGAAGGAAAAAAACGCCGGAAATCGGAATTCCGACCCACCTCTGCTCCTAACAATTAAAACAAAATTAAAACGAGCATTATCTCCTTGTCACTATCATGTTTGATCCAATCCTTTACTATTTTATAGGATGCGGTAGACCGCTTATATTATTTAATCCTTACATCTTATTCAACTAATATATAAATTTCTAATTGATCATTAACTCTTTATTTTTAATTAGAAATTAATTTTTAGTTTGAAAACTAAAATGATGAAATTGTTTAATTATTTTATTTTAATTTTTTTATTGTTGTACATATTTTGCGTTGAATCAGCAAAAACTGGTAATTAATATTTAGATAGACAGAATTCCCTTAGCTAGACGGATTCAGAATTCCTCCTATTCATCAAAATAGAAAATTTAAAAATCCAAAATGTTCGAAATCTTAACTCAAAGAAAAAAAGGATTGATGTTCGTTCCAAAATCTTGATTCCATCTGGGGAGTTAAAAGCTTATACTTGTTGCAATCAGTGTTTATAAATTTCAGATTTGCTCGTACTCGTACTACGTACCATCCCATTTTTGACCTCTTATTCATACCTAATTACGAGTACGAATTTTGTTACGAGCTTATAAACACTGGTTGCAACAACTGATATGCCTATTATGGCCGTGCTCAGTCCGGAGCTACCCCAGTATTAATCAACTTACCTATGTTCCTCACTCCTGGTGTGTTTCATGACAAAATATTATAAAAATTATAGTCCTCAACCTTCAAAAAATTTTTTCTCATAAATTTAAATAATTTAAGATTTAAAAGTCAACGATCTTTACGTTGATTTGTTTACTGAAACTGTAATAGATAAAAACAATTTGAGAGCTGGAAAAATTAAAAGAGTTAATTTTTTGGTTTTTGTTGAGGCTGTAGAAGATAAAATAATTTTGATTAACAAATTAATAAAAAAATTGAATGAAAATATTAAAAAACAAAATAAGCCTAAAAAAGAAAAAATTTCTGAAAATTTAAAGAAAATTGGTAGCTTGATTGAGGAATGTAAAAATTTTATTAAAGAATTTGAGGGAGAAGAGAAGATGGCAAATAATTGGGATATTTGCCATATTTGGGAATTTTACGAAACTTTTAGGTAGTTAAAGAATATTTTAAAAATATAATTTAATTAGTAAAATTCACAAGAAATTCATTATAAAACTCAAAATTCTCCAGAACCCAGAATGATTTTATTTTTCTTCTTGCCTTCATGATTTTGGAAAGGGAAAGTTTAATCAAAGATTAAACGTAAACTCCAGAGACTAAGTTTGTTGTAACCGATACATGATTGCTCATTGTTGTGTAGCTGTGTCTTTACTTCTGAGTTTATATCCGTTTGATTAAGACTTCTCTTTTATCTCCCATAGCTGATTATTTAAGTTTCTGTCCTTCTTATGTTGATCAAATACAAGACCCACTCTCTCCCCATTGTTTAACAAATGTTGTTTGAGTTGTCAAGTGTGATTGAGCTGTCAAGTTGTCAACTGTTGTCAATTGACAGTTGAATTGACAGTTGTCAAGTTGTCATTTGAGTTGTCAAGCCTTAGTCAAGTGAAATCATACTAACGGGGCTAGTTACTGATCTCCTTCGTCTGTTTCCAGCTCTTTCCATCCCTTCACCTTCATTGTTCATTTCTACACCTTATAAACTGTTATTCTGGAGAACGCCGACATTAGTAAATCTCGGACAACCCTCTGGCATAACACACAGGATTTTGTCAAGTATATTTTTATAGATCCTCTAAAATGAGGGCGGCTGCCTTTATAAAATAGGGTGGCTTACCGAAATAAAAAAAATTCCAGCCCCATAACGAGATATATATTCAAAAGATTTAAAAATTAAAATATTCTTCTCAAAAATTTTCAGCCAACTCGAATATGAATTGGCGAGTAAAATTCATGGAAATCTGCAATTAGAAATAAAAATAAATTTGCCAGGCAAATGTGAAGATTTAAGAAAATCAAATTCAAAAAATAATAAAAGAAAAAAACAATTACCAAAATGGATACCAGTCTTTGAAAAAGCAATTTTTGAAGCTCATTTTAAACATCTTAAAATGAGTTTATTCCTTAATGAAGAGAATAAAGTTTCAAAAATTGCAGAAAGAATAGAGGGAATATTAGAGAGAGATGGGCTTTTAGAAAAAAGAAATTTATCCGAAATTTTTGAATTGAATTCTGAGACAAGTAAGAGCATTTAGTAAAATATGTATAAAGACGTTGAAGCATTGGGCCTGAAGAAACTTATCTTGCATTATGCATAAAGTCGTGTTACGAGAAGATCACCCGATCCGAGATGCCAGGCGTAAGAAAAAAACGCGGCCATCGAAATCCCACTAGACCGCCTATAACTCTGCTTATCTCCAAAATCCCTTCTAAATTACTCAAAATGAGTACTGATTTTACGCGGAAAATAAATCATAACTTATAGTTTATTAGAAAATTTTCTTATATTTTTTAAATAGATATAGCCGCATAAAATAGATATAGCTTCGGCTCAAGTCCTGGGGGTCTTGATCTTGAGTCGATCGATCATAGAAACAACTCTATCGCCAATTAATGCTACCTCTAAATAATAATTATCATTTAAGCAACTTCACTAACATTTGAAGACAATGTTACCCTTAACGACAATATTTTTGAGGCACTCTATATCACTCTTTTTGGAGAGCCATATGGTACAATCAAAACTATAAATGCCGAATGTCTTTTAAGCATTAATTTAATGTTTGATTTAATTGTAGAAGAATGCTCAAAAAATAAATTTTTGATAAAACAGTTAAATATTTTATGGAATATTGCAAATCCTGCATTGAAAAAATTATTAAAAGAAGAGGGGGTGATTGAAATTGTTTTGGAATTGAATGAATTTTTAGAATTAATGCAAGCAAAAAATTGTAAGAAACTATAACATTCCGTAAATGTTTTAAATCTGCATGCTTCTTTCTTTCTGTCACAGGATGAAGCAATATGTTTTAGATTAGGAATCGTGCTTCTAATAGAGGCTGTGGTTCTGTATTTCGGGGTTTGTCCAAGAGTTACCGCCAACAGGCACGAATAAAAGCTTATCCAAGGTAGAGATTAAGAATTTAGGCGATAAAATGAATGAATTTCTATGAATGTTTTGGGCATTTGTTGCTCCAGCTTCGGGCATTTTAAATTCTTGGCTCAGGCTCCGGGGTTTTCAAAATCTTAGGTCCGCCTCAGCCGTAGCCAGCCGCACTAGCTCCCGGAGCCATACACAGCACTGACCACAGGTTCTATTAATACGTTGGCAGTGATAATAAAATTCTTGTTATTAATTAACTTATGATATGATGAGTTCATATCAGAAATAAAATGAAAAGGACGTTTCAATTTGATTAACTTTTAAATATTTTTAGCTTCAACTAAAGAAAAACAAAAAATAACGCAAACAAAAAAAGAAAGTCATACCCAAAATGAAAATCCTCTACAATCAATTATTCGCCCCAAATTATTTGAATCACATAAAAATCAGATTTATGATCTTTATAACGAAAGAAGCAATTTTAATTCATTCATTAACAATAGATGGGGTGGAAGGATGTTGATTTTTAAATTTTTCCATGCATATGAATTAACAGAAGAATATATAAATTTCATGAATTATATTCTCTATTATGGTAAATGTTCAGCAGTTCTTGTATAAGGTTGGCGGTTCAGGGTATCCGGAACAGAAAAAACCTCGGATATCCGAAATCTCTGTTCGGAAATTTCCCAGAAACCGCCATCCTTATTCTTGTATACTCTTCGGTTATCAGGAAAAGAAGAACAAAAATTTTCGGTTCCGAAATTTATCCAAAAAAATTTTTGTGCAGTGTAAAATCACTATTACCATGTTACATTTATTTTCACTTTTAAGACCTTGAACGTTTCTTACTGCATGAAAACCCCGAATCTAGAAGCTGTACCTGGAACAACTGGTGCCGATGAATCGTTAGGACTGAAATTAATTATAACGTTACTAAGATTCAAGGAACTATTCCGTTTAAAGTTGAAATGCCTAGGAACTAGAGTAGTTCAAGGCCCTTTATGAAACATAAATTTTGCGTTTTTGTCAACCCGAAATAAATTTTCCTGGGCTAAAATTACATTTAAAAGAACTATTTAATTTTTATAAAATAGATGAACAACAACTTCTTCATTTTCTTATGAATTTCTACAAAGTTATATTATTTAACGATAATAAACGCTGTGTTGGTTTAATTGAAAGAGCAGCTAATATATTTGCTTTGGTCATCTCAATTGATACAATTGCTGAGAAAATTAAACTAAACGATCATCCACAATGGACTTCAATTCGGAATTATTCATTACTCACTGCAGATGGATTTTACTACTTTTACTCGGAATTTGCTGTTAGCGGATTAATATATGAAAATATACTTTTTGGAATTTGGATATCTTTAGCTAATAAAGAATCTACAAATAATGACTTTGATTTGGCTAAAATTGTTTCGAATATTCCTGAACAACTGGCACATGAAGGAAAATTATTCCTTCCAGATATGCATGTAAAAGAATTAAATGCAATACATTACCATTATATTTCTTATTTTATGAATAATAATCAAGAATTTAAAAATGAAATGATAAAAAGTAAAATTTTTATTTTTACATAGAATATAATGATGAAAAAATTATTAAGCTTTAAAAAGTTCAAAAAATATTTTAAATTGCCCAACAGATGTCGAGCTGGACCTGGACCAAAGCCTGGGTTTTTCCTGTACCCAGAGTACAGGTCCAGGCATTTTTTGACCTTCCTGGTTTTTTCCTGGACTACATGCCCAGGATCCAGTCCAGGTCAATAAACCAACTCCAGAGTACAGGAAAAGGTCCATGCTTTTCAAAAATCTGAATCTCTATTGCCCATATATGTCAGCGAAGAAAAAATTACCGAAAATTCACGATTTTTCGAAAAATTTCGGGAAACGTTAACGGTAATTCCAGAGGATAAATAAATCCCCGATTTCGGAAATTAGTAATTCCCGAAAAACTAAAAATATTTCTAACTGAATATATTTAAGGGAAAAATTCTGAAGTGTTTTTATCGAATATTAGATGCTTGATTGGTCAGATTGAAATTAATATATCTGTTGACGAAACAAAGGAGGTATCAAATCGAAGAAAAATATATTTTTAAATTTTTATTTCAGATGAAAAGTGAAGATGATGATCTATTTAATTTATCAAATGCAAATAATAATGCAGTGAGTTATTAATAATTTTTAAAATTATTAATAGTCTTTATTAATTTTATGTATTTGTTGTGATTAAGTTAAAACCTTAACATTTCTTATAAGATTTCTCAAGCTTAATGAATCGAAATTATCCTACTCCTCGATATTTTTTTGAGCCTCAAATATATCTAGTTGTGAAAAGTATTAAGGTGATGATATTAAGGCAAATATTACGGTAAATATAAAAGTGATATTTCCTCGATTGTGCGAATCTTTGTATCATGTTTTGCTCTCGAATAGTGTTTTCGGACCCAAACTGAATCATTTCTGTTCGGTCTAGTCAACCAAAGAGTATGGTAAACCCCGTTAGTATATTTTCGCCACTTGGATTTTATGTTACGAGTTTTGGAGCAGCATAAATCTATCATATGTAGATCTATAGTAACTTAATAAAAAAATTAAAAAAATATATTTTAATTAGTCTTTTAAGATAAAAACTCATTTAAAATGCCCAGAAAAAAGTGTCGATCAAGGGGAATCCTCAGATGAATCTTTATATACAAAATTTGATAAAGAATTGATAGAAATGTATACAAAATATCTTGTTAATGACAAAAAGGATGATAAAAACGAGCATAAAAATTTAACATTAATCTCAATTTATTATTATTATTTAAATTTTCTAAGAGAATTGAGTGGCCAAGAAATAATTGACGAAGAAATAAAAACATCACAAGATTATGAAATAATTTATTTTTATTTTATTGATAATGACCCCAGTATTGAGGATTCTCGTAATTCTGGCTGGAATGAAAATTTTGAAGAAAAATTTACAAAATTTTCTCGCGATGCGCTTGAATTACTTCAAAAACTTGAAGTTGAAGATGAGGATATAAGCAAGACAGAAGGTTCTATTGAGGAGGGAAAAGCGAAAAATAAATGGAAAAAGCTTTGCTTGCTCCATAATTTTGTTTATACTGTGTTGCATGAAGCAACAAAGTTGGATAATATTGTTTTTTTAAATGCAGTGAGAGTTAGAAGCGGAATAAATATTATTGTATGTTTTTATTATTTGCTAAGTTTGAATGAACAATCATTTAATAGAATAAATTTGATAAAAATGAAAAACATTATTTAACATTCAATGTAGGGTTGTCGGTTCTGGATCGAACCGAAGAATCGATGATATTTCGTCGGATATCGTTTCTGTTCCGGATATCCGAAGATTTTCCAGGAATCGACAACCCTACTTCAATGAAAGAAGTCGCCAATCATACACATCCCTAAATGTAACATTTTACTGCATTTGTTAAGCTTAATAAATACCAAAAATATGCCAAAAATAACTTTAAATAAGAAAATCCCTTTATCAAGTTTTTCGAATTATTTTTTGTTAAAAATTTTTCAAAAAATTTTCTGATCAACTATTATTAAAATTATTTCCCCGGGAAACACTTTAATTTACATTTAATCGAAAAAAAACCTTTAAAAAGTCATTTTAAATGAATAAAATCAAATTATTTAAATGTAAAAAATCATTTATCCGTTAAAAATTTTCATTTTTCGGTCCATATTTGATCCATATTTTGGAATTTATTCCATATTTTGAGATTTTTAGATCATATTATATGTCCATATTTTTCGATTGATAGTCCATATAAATCCAATCCCTACTTATAATTTACAAGAAAGGAGCTTCTGAAAGTAAATATCTCTGAAGGATCTGAAGCATAATTTGTACTAAAAATGGTTATATAAATTTTTTAATTTAAGGAGGATAGCGAACGCGATAATTATGATTGTAATAGCAAAGGACAATTAAAAAAAGTTATTGATAAATATACAACTGGAAAAAGAAATAGTCAACTTTATTTTATTCACCAAATTAATATAGAAAATTTCATTAGAGAAAGCTCGCAGATGAGATATTTTTTCTGTTATAATCTCTCTAAAAGTCAGTTAATCAAGTTGGTTGGTAATAATGTTTTGATGATATTAGAAAACGCATTACCCGAAGTTTTACAAATTCGTAAGTTTGTTGAAATTTATTTTCGAGAAGTTAAATATTTTGTGTAATTTATTGAGAAAATAATGTTTAGCATAATTAAACTTTTTAAAAGAGTTGTCAACAAACAGGATAGCCAATCAACCATTTTTTGGTTATCTCATGTTGACTCTTCACATTAGTTTTAGCGTCCGAATTCTAAGTTCACCGTGAAAGGTCTATTACCTATGAGTGTTTCTGTAAAAAAAAGATAGTACATTTTATGCGCGAACAACCGTGGAAATAGCTCCCCTAAAAATTTGGGCTCTACTCCAGTTTATGCGTCCAATCGACTTTTATGCGTCCAATGAAAGTTTATGCGTCAAATAAAAAGAAAATTGGATTTTTCTTGGTATTGCAAAGTTGGGGTACGGTTCCACAACATTTCTTCATGTTCGGGACCTACGCCCACTTGGTTTGGGACCATTCCTTACCCTATCCCTCGAAATTTTTTAAAGTTACACACAATTTTTTAAAATTTCAGAAAAACGATTATAACTTTCAGAAATTTCGAGGAGTCGGGTAAGGAACGATCCCAGACCCAGTGGACGTAAGTCCCGAACATGAAGGAATGGTTTGGAGCCATACCCCAACTTTGCAATACCAAGAAAAATCCAATTTTCTTTTTATTGGACGCATAAACTTTCATTGGACGCATAAAAGTCGATTGGACGCATAAACTGGAGTAGAGCCAAAATTTGTGTATCAACGAATAACTAACTATATACAATAGGCAGAAACATCTGGAAAAGGACCAGGCTAGCATAATTAGCAGAGGTGGGTCGGAATTCCGATTTCTGACTTGAGACGATTTTTTCCTTCCGATTTCCGAGTTCCGACTTTTGAGCCAGTTCCGATTTCCCATTTCCGACAACCTTGACTGTTTCAACCCACCTCTGATAAGTTGTTGATAATATATGTGTGCTAAAATTATATCGTACAACTAATTTGTCGATCTCTTTATTATTTTAGATAAAATCGAACCATTAATTAAAGAATTTCTTTATAAAAAAATACTGAAATTTAGCGAAGATTATGAGAATAAAATAGAAAATGAGGATTTTGATATTAATGACGATCAAATAAAAATAACTAAAGAGAGAGGGGAAAGATTATTAACAGAAATAAGATTAGATACACCCCTTCTGCTAAATAAATATATTGAAATGATAAATAAATTAAAAGAAAATTCAAAAATTTTTGAAAAGAAAATAAACTTTCAAAATACATTTGATTATGTTAGAACAATTATTTATGAAAAAATAACAGAAGAAAACTTTCAATTGGCAGTACATATTCTCGGTAAATTTAATTATTTATAATTTCTTAAATTTTATAAAAACTATGAAAAAGTGATCATTACTATCTAAAGTAAAGAAAAAACATAAATGTTCAAAATGTCCTCCCGACACTCACTATGGTTGCCAAATATGGTCGCGCACTCAACCACAGTAAATGAGTCCCATGCTTTTTGCTTAATAAAAGTTAGGGAATTTTTGCCGCCCGCTGAATTATTGGGGCTAATGTTAAGGAGTCTCCAATAACAATGGTATTAACCAATCCTTAATAATGTAGTTAATTGTCAATTCGGTTAAGATAACGATTGATCGGGCTGGAAATAATGTAAAGTCTTGATATAGTTAATAAATAAAATTATCATTTTTCCTTTAATTTTATACGATAATTAAATTTTTCAAGTTGAAAGCATTAGTTTGATCAATGATTATAATAAACTCGATGAAGAAAAACAACTCAAATGCACAGAATGGCCTAATGAATTCAAGCTTGAAATAGAAATTATAATAAAAAAATTTGAAGAAGAGGAAATACCGATAACCGCAATTAAAGATGAAGCAAGAAAGATGTTACAAACTGATCATTATAATTATTTACATAATAAATTTGATACAGATAAAGAATTTTTGGAAAAATTTAAACTAATTAATGGCACAAAAGCAGCACTTTATTATTTGTTGAAGGAAGGAGATTACTTCAAAAAATTAGTTATTGATGAGTTCAAAATTGTAACCGAAAATTGTAAGTAAAAAATTTCTATCAACCATTAATGATAAAAATTTTAGGCTAAACTGCAGTAAACCAACCTTTTTTAGATTTGAACAATTTATATGTCATTCGAAAGAGCTCGTTGAGCTGAGTCGAACGACACCAAAATTAGTCCGCGGACTCAACTGCGAGCCGAGATACAGGCCCCCGAAAATCGAAAAACCATAGGGGGGACCAAGCACTTTTTTGGGGGTGAAAAATTCGAATATGCAAATTATACCTCACTCGAAAGAGCTCGGCGAGCTGAGTCGAATGACACCAAAATCAACGAAATCTGACTTGATTTGACAAAGTTATGATCTTTTATTTTAGCTCCTTACCTATGGGATCTGTGGAGACTTTTGCTGCTACGGAGGCCCCAAATACGTCCAGAGCAAGGGAGATAGGAATAGGCTTATGTTACGAGTCCAGACCCAGCGCCCGTAGACTCCCCGCGAGGCGCGTGCCGCAAAACCCCGCGCGAAGCGCGGGGTTTTGCACAAGCGCCTCGCCGACGCCCCATAGGTTTAGGTTTTAGTTTTTCTATCGTAACTTTGTCCAAACTTGTCCAATCACGATGATTTTGGTGTCATTCGACTCAGCTCGACGAGCTCTTTCGAATGAGGTATAATTTGCATTTTCGAATTTTTTACCCCAAAAAAGTGCTTGGTCCCCCCTATGATTTTTCGATTTTCGGGGGCCTATATCTCAGCCCCTGTATGAGTCCGCACGAAAATTTTTTCACCATTCGACTCAACTCGACGAGCTCTTTCGAATGACATATAAATTGTTCAAATCTAAAAAAGGTTGGTTTACTGCAGTCCTGCCAAATTTTACTTATAAAGCTATGCGTTAAGGTCTCCCAAGCTAGGCAAGGGGTGTGAATTGAATGCGGTAAGTGCAGAGGATCAACTATGTAGTGGGATTAAACGGACTGATTAAAATAGATTTATTAAGTAATATGTGTATTCACGTTGTCGAAACAAGAAAACTGAGCCAGATCCTACACAACTTTCGTTTCCAATAAGGAAATATTAATAAAATATTTAGCCAAATATTTTCCAAACAATTAATTTATTCCAAAAATAAATACAATTTTATTTTTGGGGTAGAGAAAAGTTTTTAGTTAAAACATATGAATACTTAGTTATATAAGAAGTCACTTAGCGCCACTAACGGATATCTCTTTCCTATTCTCAAGCTTATTCATCGCCAATTACGGCGGAAATACTTCTATTACTTTAACGCCATAGTATGGAAACTTAATAGTAACAAAAGTAAAGAAAATGATTAAGTCCTAGAAATAAGGGTACAAAAATCAAAAAAGGGAAAGAAATTATGCACGTGAAAAATAAGTGAATAAAAAATAATTCAACAATATTTTATCAAAATTTCGATCTTCGACTTGTTTAAAGTATAAGCAGCCCAAATGAGTTCAGTTCGATAGAAATATTATTTTTATCACGAGGAAATAGTAACTAATTTCGAATAATAAATCTCAACTTTCACTATTATTTTTTGTTCATGCTTTCGAAATAATGGGGAAGCTGAAAGGGATAAATCTTAGATACAAAGTAAACGTTTTTGGACGATGGCGAGTGATTATTGGGATTAGATTGTCTCAATTTCTCGTAGAGTTGTCTCGAACAACTCGATTTCCTAGTTGTACGGAAATCGTAAATACACCAAAAAGTCGAAAATGAAAGAAAAAAACCTCGAAACCCGAAATTTAGAAAAACTTTAATTGGGAGATGCTAGGAAAGTTCTTTACATGGTTAGGAATGTTGAATGAATATAATAATAAATCTAATCCATTATTAGTCAGCTAAATAAACAATAAAAATTACAAAGCAAAAATAAATTATTTAGCTTTAATGGACCGGCAACTACTCATCAAGCATTATATCCCAGCATTATTTCCAAAAAACATTAAGGATCAATTATTTAACCGAATAGGCGCTGATTTTATTGTTTGGTATCGTTCTATGACTTCTGATTTAAGAAATAAACAAAAATGGAAAATAGAAGACGCTCATTTTTCTGCAAGAAAAAAATTTGACGAAGAATTATCAGTTTATTTCAACCTTTATGATGCTGTTTATAACGACTCTTTTAACGAGATTAGAGGCAGAACTGGATATTATATAGTAAAAACTATGGCCTTTGTCAGGAATAGAATGGATGTTGATATGGGATGTACTGGAATAGATATTGAAATAGAGGTAGTAAGAATTATAAGAAAAATTATGGTGTATTTAGGCATTTTCAATGCATAGAAATCAGTGCATTAATTAGGCGCTTATTTTATTTTTCAAATAAAATCAAATAAAATTTGATCAAATATTTGATTTTACAACGTCAAACATTTGTTTGGTGCGATCTCTATTAAGAATTTTGTTTAGTTATCCTGTTAGTGGGTTGGTGTTTTTTATCCTGAATTTAAAATTTTAAAAGATAGAGAACTCCATCCCCGATTTTTGGAATGACTTGTAAAGACCCTCTTCTCTACTCTCGATAATTATGGGGAGTGGACAATTGGACATTTAATAATGTTAAAATGACATTTGTATTGTATAGAATTTCACTGAATAAACATCTAGAGCCAATCATTTTTAGTGACGAATCAATAATACATATTTTTAAATTTTAGGAAAGAGAATTATCTAAAACGAATAAATATGATGAGGAATCTGCTAGTTCCTCTCAAAAGGAAGAATTTGTAGATTTAAATCCTTTTAAAAAATGGCTAAAAGAGAAGCATTTATTGGAAATGAAAGAATTAATAATAAAAAATGAAAATTTTCGTGAAGAAATTGAAAAAAGTATGTCTAAATTTATTTTAATATAGGTAAACCCAAAGGTAGGAGAATTTGAGATATTTTTTGAGTCGGAAAATTTGAGAGATCATCCAATATTACAGTATGTTGATATGTATGAATCAAAATCAAATTGAGAGAGAAACATTGAGAACCTTTATATCGAACTTCACATAGAAAAATTATTAATTAGGGGGGCCAATTGAATAAAATATATTTTAAATTCAGAAATTGAACAATATGGAAAGCCAAAATTGATGGAATCATTATCTACTCTTATAGAAGGAAATAATTATAATTTAATTTTTGATTTATTAGAAAAATATTCCAAAAATAAAATATTAGATAAATCAAAAGAGATTTGGGACAATAATTTGGATAAACAATTAATGATGATTGAAAGCAGCAATAAAGATAAAAGGTTTTATATCTATTAAAAAACTGTAAACACTGATAGGGGTTGATAGTATCGCAAAAGAACAAGAATTGTTTCTACATACCGTATTTGCTAAAATAATTACCCAGGGTAATTATTGTTTCAACCTCTCGCTGGTCGTTGTAATTAAAAGGGAGTGGTAGTTATTTGAGCTTTTTTAAGAAAAGATAATTATAACTGTTTATAAGAGGGGTAATTATTTTTTCAATCTCTGGCTGTAGGAGGTATTTAATAGGGCGGGGGTACTCATTTGAGAGAGACATTATTACGGTAAACAAAAAAGTATAGATATTTGAGTTAGTTAGAATCTAAATATACTTAAAAAATAGGTTCACTTTAGTCATTCTTTGTATAATAATTTTAGCAAGGGAAAAGCGAAAAATAAAAAGAATCGAAATAAAAAAACTAAAAATGAAAATTCAAATGAAATTTCCAACGAAAGTTCAACACTAAATATTCCAAAATCACCTGAGATAATTGGTTCATCTTCTAATAAAAATATTGAAATTAAAAAGAAAATGAAAAAGATATTCGTTAAAAAAGAGGATGATTATTTTGGAATAAATTTTGATAAAGATTTGATATTAAAATGGAATATTGATGAATTAATTAATGAAGAAAATAATTCTAATTTAATTGTGGAAATATATAAAGATTTTATTGAAGATCCAAAAAATGGAAAAAAGTATTTATTGAATGTGGCAGCATGTATTGGGGAAATTGTTGGGAGATTTAAGGTAAAATCTAGTTAAGCGTATTTAACTTTATAATGAAAATGAAGTAATAAACCTAAAGGCCCGAACCGTAAGAACACGGTTGCTCGTTGTATCTTCACTAGCCTGCGGTCTTACTAATGCGCATGCATTATTAATGCTAGAATTGCAGATCAGGATATCCGGATCCAAAAATTCTGGTTATCAAAAAAATTCGGTTCGGATCCAAATATACTGAGATTTCCTAAAATCCAGACTTCTAGCATGGCTTTAGTGTTAATGAAGTAAATCCTTATGCAAAATAGTTTCACGATAAAATATTCTATTATGATGAATGAAAATAATAAACTGGTCAAAAGTCAAGCAACTTATGCACATTGATAATGGATAATAGGATGACAGATCAAGATATTCTGATACGAAAAGCCCGGATATCAGAAATATCACAGTACAAGTGGATGCATAGAGGACTGTGTCTGGCATAACTTATGTTAGGCATAGGAGATTAAGCCCATCATTATGCAATAGTAAAATAAAAATAATTATTAATTTAAGGTAATTCATTACCTAAAGAAATATCACCCTCGTTTATCAAATATATTCTTTACTGAAGAAAAGAAGATAGAAAATAAAGGAGAAATTGAGGTGCCAGAATCACCAAAAAAGAAATATTTGCAAAAACGTTTGGAAGAAAAATGGGAAAATTTAATAAATAAAAAAGAAATTAATTTAGCAATATCAAATCGTCAAACATTTATTAAATTTGAGACAAAATTATTTGAATTTTTAAGAGAAATTATTTATATAATGAAAGGAATATTCGATGGAAGACAGTTGGGGACCAATAAAAAAGAAATTATTTTAAAAATTAAAAAACAATTACATTTAAAAAATTTGGGGTTAATTAATGAAGAATGGAGAGACAAAATTGAAGAAAATAAAAAGAGAGAAATTTTTAAAATTTTATTTTTTGAGGGGGAGGAAGGAAGTGTTAATGATATTGCTAAATTAAATGAAGATTTTGAATTATGGGAAAAATATAAAAAACAAAGAGATTTGGGTAAGACAAATTATTTTTTAGAGGAAAATTTTTAAATATGAATCATATTATTTTTGTAATAGAGAGGTTAAAGTTAGGCTCCGAACCGGCATCAATCCTCCGAAATCCTGGGCCCTATTTTAATTGATAACGAATTCTGTGGACTAATTTTGTGCACGGAATTCAGAATATTTGGTCAATTAAAATTGCGCCCTGTTTGTTAAGATAGGTATCAGAGATCGCAGCGATCCAATTCACAATTCCCGAAAATCATGAATTCCCGACGATTTTTGGCTCGTGAATTCACTATTCACGAAAATCGTGAAATTCACGATTATTCACGAAAATCGTGAATTCGATATTTTCGAAATTTGGGAATTAGATTTTTTGTCGGCGCGATGACTGATAGGTCCTCAATCCCCATATACATGTGCTTCCTCAAATTATGACTTATTTTCAACCCTTATCAACCGTAAAAGATAATTTTTAAATTTAAGATACACAGATATATGATGGAATTGGACCTGCAAAGTATTTGAATCCAGAATACTTCCAAGAGATTAATTTTGAAACAAAAGATGTTACCTCAACTAAGGTAATATAAAATGGTTTTGTAATTGCTGTAGTTCGTTAAAAAATATTTAAACCCTACATTTTCCGAAGAACCAAATAGAAAAACTGTAACTGATATCCGACAAATCTCAAAATTTTTGGATTAGGTTCAAAGCGAAAATCTTAATCATTAGCCTTACTTTTATGAAGGCGTCCAAAAAATAACCCAATATCCGGATGACTTCCAAACTAAAGTTTAATATAAAATTCAACATAAATAAACATAAATATTTTAAAGTTAATACGGTTTAAGTGGAATACCAGACCTGTAGGAATTCTTTAATTTTAGAAAAACTGTTAAAATTTTAGAAAAACTGTTAAAGAAAAACTGTTAAAAAAACTGTTTTAGAAAAACTGTTAAAATTTTAACGAACTACGATTTTAACGAACTTATTAAAAACTATTAAAATTCCACATATTTCTGTTAAAACTAAAGAATTTATGCATACATGTCAAAGCGGTGTGCGGACATATCGGGATTGGGATGACAAAAATAATTTCTTGCGTGTTTACGTTTATTCTAAAAGATAAAAACTCTATTCCTCAAACAATATACTATCCAAGACCCAAATGCCGTAGGTCCCGAAATCAGTAGGGTAACTGTGCATGCATTAAAATATTCCCGCGTGCCGTCAAAGCAATACGTCATCAACAAAACATTTATAAAGACACTGTCAGACCAAAACTATCCAACCAAAATAATATATAAAATTAAGTTATTCCAACTAATCGAGGGACATTCACGTGATCATGTAATTGGTGATAAAGCGGTAAAAGTATTGAAAAAACATTATTCAAGATGGTCCCAAACAGTTGGGGGTTTAAGTAAATTATTGATAAGTGGCTCTGTTATGTTGGGAATTAATACAATAAATTCTGATGTTGATGCTGTTGTTATTTTAGAAGAAAATGAAAAAGAAAACAAGAAAATAAAGATTCCAAAATTTCAACAGAATCATTCTGAAGAGTTACAAAAATATAAAAACATGCTAGAACGGCCAACAAGTTCAAATTGTGAGGGATTAAAACTTGAAGACCGAAGTTTTGGGAATAACCCACTATTTTCCTCCTTAATTTGTTCAAAGGATGAGAAAATAAATAAAGAAATAAACGAGGATAATAAAAATATAGAAATTGATATTAAAGAGAAAAGATTAAATCAAGTATTTGGTAATGAAAATGTAAATTGTCAATTTGGTAAAAGAGAGGAATGTAATGATCAGTCTTTGTTTTGCTTCCTTTGTCGAGTTTGTTTTAATTTAAGATTTGATCCCGTATCAATTTGCCTATTATATTAGTTTGTTTATACTGGGGTTGAGTTGCTCCAAACATAAGTGAACTATGCCGTGTATAAGAAATAGGGTTTCCCTTAAGACTTGATGGCTGGCCGGCCGGCACCACCAGCTGAATGAATGAAGTGATCTAGCTTATTTCATCAGTGTTTTTATGCGTAAGCCTAATTCATATGATGATGGCAACTTTTAGTACTTTGAGTATGTCCGTTTATTATGAGGGAGAATGCCAAACTGATTTATGTACATAGAACTAAGAGCTCTCCCTATCTTATACAATTCTGAACTATCTCACTAAAATAATTTATTTTTAAGTTTCTCATTTAAAAAATGATTTATAATTCCTTTTATTAAATATTAGGATAGAAGAGTAACTGACATTAAAAGGATAACAGAAGCATGGATAAAATTGATAGAATTTAAAATATTTGGAGTGGATATAGATATTGCTTTTGTTGGTTTACCTGAATGGCCATTGAAAGAAAATTCTCATGAATGGTTAAATGCCGTTTTGGCCAGTCACAAGAATAATGCTTTAACAAAATTACAACCAATATCTGGATATAGTTCAAATAAATATTTGATTAATTTGTTGAATAACAAAGAAAATAATAATAAAATGCCCATTACTTTTTGTAATGCTTTAATTGCTCTTAAGATATGGGCTAAAAGTAAGAGTTTTATTATAATTTTTATGAATCCTAATACAAAGGACCCACTAATTAGTTTTGCAAATTGATAATTGAATTTTTAGATAAATATCCGAAGATTGATATGTTTAAGCTTCTATGCCATTTGAATGCCAAAAATTTTATAATGAAAAATATAAGGCCAACATAAAGCGGCTCCGAAAAAATGAGTTCCTACCAGTAGTTTAAAAAATAGGTATAGAAAATAGTAAAGCGGAACCTTAATCTAATCTTTATCTAAAAACATTTTTTCATATCTAAGACCCCCATATTACTAAAATTAAAGTATTTTTGTAGAGCTTTTATTTTAAAAAATATTGTATTAATTTAAAGATAATTCAATATATGGAAACATAAATGGATTTTTAAACGGAGCAGCATTGACTTTATTATTAGCAAAAGTCTTTCTTTTGTATCCGAATACATCAACCATTGCATTAATTGAGCGATTCTTTCTCACATATTTGACATGGTAAATGAAATTTATTTTCAAAAATATTAAAAAATGTTTTTAACATAACAAAAATAATTTAAGGAATTGGCCAACACCCGTCCGATTAAAAAATCCAGAAAAAATGAATGACATACACAGTTGGTCAATCGCTAAAGAAATATCTGCAAAGGGAACTAATATAAAGCCTATAAATGATATATTTGGAAAGTTAAGAAACAATGAAACAACGGCTAGACTTTTAAAGCATTCAAGATTAATAATGCCAATAATAACCCCAATATATCCAGAACAATCTGCAGCCTTTAACGTTAATTATTCAACACAAAAAATAATTATGAAAACATTATTTGATGGGTTGAAAATGTTAAGGAATGTTAATATTGTCGGTCTTAGAATTGGAGCTATAGAAAAAGCATGGGAACGGTGGATTAAAGGAATTAAATTTGAAGAAAAGGTTTGCTTAAGATAATATATGTAGATTGACATAGATGAAATTTGAAATATGTCAGTGTATCTAGGTGAGTAATCCTCCTAATCGATGGATTATTCCGAATTATTTTGCATGTAGGAAGACTTTAAATTAACACAATGATCTTTGGGCACATAATTTTTGTCATAACCATATTCACATTAGAGATATGAGATAAAATAAAGATTAAATTGTTGTATTCGCACTTCTTGAAGAAATAAGAATTATTTCCATGATTTATCTTACAGACGATGAATTTTTCCTTAGCATGGATATTTCCTTAGCATGTTACTTCGATATTCCGGTGTTCAAGTTCCCTGAACTAATAAAAGATTAGTAAAAGTTTAGTATACAGCGTTAAATGTTAGTCCTTAATAATAAAAGATCAACTGTGTTAATTGAAAATCTAAAAATATTATTTCAGTATGAACATTTTATTTTGGCTGTCTGTGCTACAAAAATAGGAAATGAACATTTTTGTGGATATGCTTCAACAAAACTTAAATTACATTTAATTTGGAGAATCGAAGAGAAAAACAAATTTAATCAAGTCGAATATTGTCATATTTCTAATTTAATGAAAGAAGAATTTTGCAAAGGGGAAGCAGAGAAATTATTAGGGTGAATTTTATTTTTAGGATATAAACTAATGTAGGACACAACCGGTTATTAGCCTGCACTCCGGTTTTTGGTTAATCCAAATTTAAGAAACCCGGGTTTGAGTTCTGATCATATTTCGGTTTTAATTTTAAAAAATCACTTATTTTCATAAATTTCCGGTTCTAGGCTTTTAAAATGTCATAAAAGCTGTTAGTTTTTGGAAAAATATCACGAAAGTCAGATTTCGTTGAAAAAAATAGCTTGGTACCCCCCCCCCCCAAAAAATAGCTTGGTACCCCTTTGGTTTTTCGAACTTTAGGGTACTGTATCTCAGTATGAGTCCGCATGAAAATTTTTTCACAATTCGACTCAACTCGATGAGCTCTTTCGAATGGCATATAAAATGACACATTTGCTTTTATTTAGTGTTCCGAAATTATACCATTAATATTTTTATTAAACTCCTCTCCGCGAGACCTATTGAAAGACACCTCATACATCCCGGTTCTCTGATTTTGAAAATTTTCAGTTCTGAGACTCAAGTCATTGGTTTCTCCAAAATTCTAACAAATGCTTTCCCACTTAAGCTGGTTGTGTTTACGTAAAAATGTTTTTTGAGACTCAAATGACACCCAAAAATATTTTTATCAAACTCCCCTCCATGAGACCTATTGAACAACACCTTATACACCCCAGTTCTCGATTTTAAAAAATTTTATTTCTGAGACTCAAGTGGCACGTTTCGCCCAAAATTCTTCTCCTGAATCGCTTTATCAAATCTCATCTTCATTGTCTTCTTAATTCCATTAATATAAGGCCATGCCCACCCACACCATCTGAAGTATCATTATTTTTAATCTGAAAAACTCTTCGTACAATTCTGTGCGCGTGTTCATGCGCCAGAATAGCCACAGGACTTCACATCATCCCAAATATTTTCTTCTTCAAAAATAAACGCAACTTCATATCATCTTTGCAAATTCCATAAGTACTATGTAATATGTACCTGTCTGTAAAATTTATTACTTTAGACACACTCAACTTAAGTGGGAAGGCATTTGGTAGAATTTTGGTGAAACAAGTCACTTGAGTCTCAGAACTAAAACCAATATATGCTATTTGTTTTTCGACTACTTATAAAATTATGAGGAAATAAATCTATGAATATTTATAAATACCTAAATATTTTATAACTTATATTTTTCAAATTTTCTTTAGTAATGACACTTATTGTGAAATTAGACTTATTGGAATGCGATTATTTGGAGAATTAGATAAATCAGAAATGGAAGAAAGATTTAAAGTCTTAAGTAAAAATATAATTGATGGATATAGATTACCTAAATTTATGAAAGATAAAAGTGGAATTTCTTTTAAATTATTTTATTCCTCAAAGAATGAACTGAAAAATTGGTTTGTCTTTAGAAGAGTAAATTCAGGTTTAGAATAATCAAAGGGGAGACTGGACCTGTGTTTCGATTATTTTAATTCACGATCTAGACCTAATAACGGCGATTTCACTTAGGACAGATCCTGTATTTTCAAGTATATAGTATACTTTACATAATAACAAATGCTCTACACTGTACATAAATAATGATAAAATTCATATTTGATTAATTGGGAAATTTTTGAAAAGAATTGTCGGAAGAGGGGAAATCATCTACAGTTTTATGAGCATTTGTATCTGTTCAGCTGAAATACCTAGCAATAACTAATAAGACAGACTGCTTAGAGCTAGACTTTTCACTCTTATTTTTTATAAATTGAAATATTTGTCAATTTTTATACAATTTTTAAACAATTTACAGGAATTTAATTGAAAGCTGAGATTTTCAAAATTTTGTTAAAAATATCAGAAGAATTCTACTTTTTGATTTTATTATTTTATTATTAATTGATATTTTTCTTCTCAAAAAATTTTAAATAAAATATTTACTGTACACATTTGTGAAGGATTTTTTTAATAGCTTGAATTGTTCGACTAAATTAGCTACGATTTAATATACCGTATTTATTCTAATTGAATGGCCTCCTTTCTATTTTTCGATACCACAAAAAATTGTAATTCAATTTGAGGGGCCATTCAAATAGAGAGGCCATTTAATTAGAATAAGTAAGGTATTTATAAAAATATTCAGTTTTTTTCTTTCAAAAAGTTATGGTGGAAATAAGCACAACTACTAGCAACGAACTATAGTTTCTAAATGTCTGTTTGTTATATCTAATACGCGGTTATTTTAGCTTAAGACGTTCTTATACCATCTAAAAAATAAAAAAAATGTTCTACTAAATTAAATAACATAAGCTTTGTTTAAAAACTAATACAATATAAGCTCAATTGTTAAAGTTTATCGAGAAATTAAGGAAAAAAAAGTCATTTTGTTTAAACAATCATTAAGAAAATAATATTTAAATAAATATGTTGAGGAAATAACTAAGATTAAACTGATATAAAAATTTAAAATAAATTGAAAAAGAATAAATAATTTTAAAAATTAAATAATAAAATATCAAATAGAATTATCTATCATAAATGAATTTTACTGAAATAAATTTGGTGTTACGACAATTGCGGATACGCACGTGCGGATGCGACAATTGCGGATTAAAAAAATTTTTTTTATTTTAAAAATGATTTAAATGATGTCTGTTATAAAACTAATACTTTTAGTCCCGGCTGTCAGTTTCCGACTTGTGACGGTTTCCGAATCATTTTTAGACTGATGTGGCACTTAAAACTTTAAAAAAGCTTAAACTTTTTAAAAATTTTATATCCGCAATTGTCGTACCGCCATAAATTTTTAATTTTACTCTGAAACTAATTCTTCACAGTTTATGGGGAATTTTAGAACTGTTCACAATAGCGACTCGATCTTTTATTTTTTATGTACCCTTCCAATGTTCCATACTTTTCAAATAGTTTGATTGTCTTGAAGACATATTGTGGGGACAATTTAAGTTGATTTGCAACATCTGCCTCAATTCCATAATATTTGCTTACAGAACAGAATAACTTGATAATCTTGGCTCTCTTTATTCTTTCCTTAATTAGAATTATTTATTAAATTTAGAATTGCTCATAATCTTTTCTTTATTGTCTCTCATTCGAATTTACTAAGGGAGGGAGTGAAATTGAGGATGACAGTAAATCTGACCATTATGCACTTATTAAGAACGTTCTGACACTCAAAATAGGGGGTATTCATAAAGTCCCCATATTTACCTCATCTGTTAAAACTTCCGACTTGAATCCTAAATCTTTTACTTTCTTAATATCATATCCAATGTATTGAAATCCTTCTTCCACTGAAACTTTTATAATTTCAACTTCAATTCTGCCTTCAATAAAATTTTTAACAATTTCATTCACTTTAATTTCATATTTAATCATTTCTTCATTTTTCTGGTCAAGATTTTTTCCCGAAGGATTAAGATATTCCCCATGGTTATTTATTGAACAAAACTGGATTTTGTCTATGATTGTGTTAATTTGTTCATCATATTCTAAATTAAAATATCCTAACTTTAGGGATAATTTCTTGTATAATTCCAAGAGTATACGCATATTCAATAAAGTCGTTAAATTATTTAAATGAATTTCTTTCTTGTTTGATGTTTCTTCTGAAAATAATTTTTAAAAAATTAAGGAAAAGTACATAGTTAAATAACAGCTTAATAGTATAAAGCATATAGCTATTTAATTTCTAAGGCTATGCAGTAGGCGGCGCGGTGTAATGGCTAACACATCAGTCCGGTCTACTGAAGATGCTGGTTCGCTCCCAGCCGCCGATTAACCTTTTGCACTTGCTAAAGGAGAGAAATAGCTATAGCCCAGCTGCTTTACTACAGAGAATAGCCAAATGTAAAATCCAGAGCTTAGAACAAATAATTGATTTGAAAGAATTGAAAAAAGCATGATCAGACTAAAGGAACAGGAAGGCAAGTTCGGTATGTTCACATTCCTATAGACCGGAAGGAATTTTTTAAAGAAAAAAGTTTTAAAAATAGAATTTCTGAAAAATTCTCTGAAAATATTTCCAAAAACTTAAAAAATTTTAACATTTAATTTTTATCATTTTCAAAAAAACCGAATTATTGAAAATGTTAAAGAAATTTGATGGGAGATGGAACTGAAACTTCATGAAACGAGCGAAGCACAACCGACTGTGCCACCATCCAACCCGATGATGGGTTATTTATTTTCGTTTATCGACTTTCTGCAAGTGCAGTCAAAGAATATCCTTGATCAAAATTTCCAAATAAAATTTGATCAAAGCTTCGATTTTAATAACATTCAGTTTTTTAATAATTTATTAAAATTTTTGAAATTCAAGGATTTACCTAAAGCCAATAAATTATTTCCTTCTTTTTCCACAATTTTAAACAAATTTTCTTTACCAATTTCTAACAATGCATTGAATTTTTTATATTTAGTGACTAGCATATCAATTGTTTTTATAAATTCCGTATTTTCATTAATAAATAAAAAAAATTTATCTTCAAAATTGGTAATGTAATAATTTAAATTAAATATAAGGTAGGCAATTTCAACCAATAACCAATTTGCTTCTTTTATTCCAAGCCGAAAAATAAATTTTTCTAAAATTATAAAATTAGATTCTCTGTCTTGGGTCATAATTTGTGCAAGGTTTTAATATTTGGATGCTTTTTATTACAAGACGAAAAATACTACGGAAAATATTCTTAAGTTTCCGGAAAGAATAATAACCTTCTTTAAGTCCTTAGTTTAATATTGTAATGAAGCTAGCTCTAAAAGTCTTATCAAAAATTCAAGATATCCTTTCTTGCTCAGTTCGAGAAGTTCATAACATATAAACTTTATAACCCTTTATAGCACTTAATAAGGGGGCGGTAATTCTTGCGTTCGTACCCCGCCCCCCCCCCCCCCACCATCTCTAATCCTAAAATTAAACAATGTGTCTTTATTATATTCTGACAGCGGTTGGATTTTTTGAAATTTAACCAGATGACTCATGTTAAGAAATTATCGGGAAGAGTTTCATGTTGAAAAATTTTTTTGGTGTCATTCGACACAGCTCGACGAGTTCTATAATCTGATAACAGACTGAATATTTTTTAATAATTTGAGGTAAGAAAAAGAGTGGGGGTACGAACGCAAGAATTACCAAGGGGGCGCCCCGTGTGGGAACTGCTACTAGGTTTGCTAGTAAATCTTGAGGCGGTGGAGTATACTTGCCTTCAGGTAGCTAGTATATAAAATCCTTATCACTCCAAATCCTCGTGTATGAGGATAAATAGCCTCTATGTTTGATTTAATTACAACAAAATATAACCTGTTTGAATTATTTTAGTATACTCCTTCTTAATTTCTGCCAATAGACTTTGTTTTCTATCAAAATAATCTTCCGGCATTTTCTCCATTAATTCAGCCTTTCTAGCCTTTAAATCAATTTCTTTTAATTTATTTGACAAATTCATTTTACGATAAATATTTATATTTTCATCAATTTTATCAATTTGTTTTACTTTAATTTCCATCTTTTTTGGGATAAAGCTTTTATTTCCCAATATTGAAATTTGATAAATAATATTTTCTAAGTTTTCATATTTAACATCTTTACTATGTACATTAAATAATTTTCGATGAAATTTCTAAAAAAAGACTATAATTTAATCTAGTATATAATAGCTTTCTTAAATGTTTTATTACATATCTAATCAGAAGCGTTAGAACTCGAAACTTTCTCTAGGGGCCTATTAAGGGCCCTAGGGGACCTATTAAGGGCCCATTTGCGTCGCCATTATTTAAAAAAATAAAATAATATTTACAATCTGCCCTCACTTTAGTGTACCCATTGAGGTTAAAAAATTGTATCTAGGAACTGAAGGAAGTTCAGGAAGTACATTTGGGGTCCGGTAGCTGATGAATTAGGTCTGGGCCTTGAAAATCCTCGGATCCGATATCCCAAATGATTTCTGATCTGCTGACTTTTTCGGATCAGGATATTTAGATCTGCTAACCTTATTCCGGCATGATTTTCAGCCCGAAGCGGGTGCATTATAGCGTAGGGTTGTCGGATCGGGATCCGAAAAAGGCCGGATATCCCTTATTTTCAGTTCTGATATCGGATCCGGATATCCGTAGATTTCCAAATATCCGACAAACCTAATATAGTTTGGTCCGTCTGTAGTTATTCATATATTTTAATGATAGTGACGGTGCAAAAGTCGCTCGGCGCATAAGTCGCGGCGCAAAACTCACGGAACCAATTATTTAAGATAATTATTCAGTAAATATGATAATTGAAAAGACCTCTATTTGCATAAGCACGTACTTTTTTCTCCCAAAAACTGTTACCTTTATTTATAATTTTAATTAAAAATTTACCCCATGTTTTTTCCACGGAATTATTTCTGATAAAATTGAATGTTTTTCATATTCACAACGAAATTCAGCATCCTTCAATTTTTCCTTTTCTTCAGTATCTTCTTTTTCATAAATTTGTTTCGGAACGTCTTTAAATAAATAAATATTTTTATCAAATTCTCCACTAATTATATCCTCATTATCCCCAATTCTATACCACAAAAAACATTTAATTCGTTGTTGGAAGTTTTTTAGATAATCAAATTGTCGACTTTCAAGGTAATTTTCTCCAATTTTTAATTTCACATCAATCGCCCAACAAAAATTAAAAAATAAAATAAATAAACTTTGTTTAAGCATTAGTTTTAGCTAAAATTATAAGGAGAAAAAATTAACGTTCGAATTTACCGTATTTACTCGAGTGATTCCCCTGGGGAATTATTTTTCAACCCATCCGTAGCATGGGGAATTATTCGAGGGAGGGGAATTAATCGAGTAACTAGGGTGTTTACTAGGGTTGCTCACGACCGATTTTAAACCGAAAATTTTGATATTTTTTGCCAAAAATTAACCGTTTTTACAAAATTAAAAAAACCCGAAAACTTCTAAAAATGAGTGATTTTATTAGAAATTCCTCTAAAATTGTTGTGTATGGGCGACAGCCTTAAAGAGTTTAGTATAAAAACCAGCCAATAGTTAGTTCGCTCTCTCAGTCTTATTCCGTCTTCCTACCCCAATCGTCATCTTTTTGTAATTTCTACGTGTGATAAACTTTCTGTTGTCTTCCTCTACGTAAGCGGGGTCGTAACAAAAATAAAACCGGTATTTGTCTAAAACTCAAAACCGAAAACCCGGTTTTTAAAATTTTGATTAACCTAAAACCGGTGATAACGGTTAATAATCGGTCGTGAGTAACCCTAGTGTTTATCTATTTCTAAATAATCGGTTGTGAGCAACATTAGTGTTCATTTCAAAACAATAAAAATGAGACGTGCTCAATTTACAATTAATAGACTATCTCTGTTATGTTAACTTAATTCTTTATACAAGACGATTAAGCATTTTTAAATTAATCGTAAATAGACAAATAAAAATTCGGCATTTTCTTTTGATTTTGAAATATTATTATATACATCTAGAACTTCCGAATGTTCAAATCCGGAACTGAAATTGTTTATTAAAGCAGAAAAGATTGTTTGGGGACCAGAAGGTTAAAACAAGGTATTTTGAATATATCACGGAGTGCCGATCAGTATGGTTACTCCCGGTTACTCTTATCTCTACGCTTACTTTTACAAAGCAAACTAAAATTATAAGACACACCCCTCATTTATTGCGCTTTACCCGAAAATTTTTTGAAGTTTCGATGGCCAGGATAATTAAAAACAGAAATTCCCATTATTTCCCAATACAGAATGGTTAAACAGAACTTTTGTCGTCAACATTATCAAAGTGACTTTAAGCAAGATTTATAAAATTAAATTAGCGAAAAAACATTTAAGCAATGTCTTTAAAGAAAGACCTTCCCACCTCTCAATATTTCTCAATCAAATGCCCTCTCCCTCTCCTCTCTAAAATCATGAGGCTTTCCAAATATAGCAATTGATTGTGAAAGCAAGGCAGGCAAAAAGAAAGGCAAATAAATTTATTGATTGACTAAAATTTTAAAAATAAAAATAATTTTAAATAAATAAATTTAAAAAAAAATTTAAATTAATTGAATATAACTTTCTGGAAAAGGAAAACTTTCCAGATTTTGAAGATAGTTAAGTTGTGCTTATTATGGGTTGGCTTAACAACTTCCCCCGTTGACGGGGAAGTTGTTCCAGCAATGGGGGAAGTAGTTCCGTCAACTGGTAAGTTTTTTAGTTCCGTCAACTGGTAAAGTTTTTCCGTCAACTGGTAAATCACAAGACCCTTCCCAAAATGGCATTTGAAGTGAGAGCATTGCAACACAAGATGTGTTTACCGATTTCCAAAAATTTTAAATGCAAAAAATAAACATGCAAAAAAACAGGAATTAAGTTTTCATAAATTATGGTAAACTGGTGAAGGACCCACTATGTTTTGTACGACCTTTATTTTTGAATTATTCCCATTTTGTCATCGAATTAAACTTGATCTAGATAAAGTAATTGGGGATAAAATCCTGACCCCGGGAAAACCCCAGGACTTCTATTCCAATAGAGATTGAAATCTCTCGTATTAATCGTTTTAAATAATGGCCTAATTGACCTTCCCTTCTCCTTCAATCGTCTCGATGCTTGGAAGGATATTTTTGTTATGGAATGATTTCAGAGCATTAAAATAAACAAAGAAAAATTAAAATTTATATAATTTTATGCTACTAGATTTTATGAAATAATATATTTCGAAGATAAAACTACTTTTTTAAACTTGACTAGGAAGTTGTTTACAAATTTTCATATGTTGACGAATTTGAGAATTGTTGTTGAAATTAAATTTTTGTAAACCTTTTTATTTTTAAGATAGTACACTTATCCATAAAATAACATTTAGAGCAGATACGAGTCGAGTTACGCAAAGCCCGAAACTTATAATTGACACTAAGCCTTAATTTTCACATCCCAACTTATCCCTCCCCTCTTTTAAAATATTAGAAAACACTTAACGAATAATATTTTAAATTGTTATGTTACGAAAAATAAAGTTTTGATGTTTTTTTCGAGGAAAAGGGGGAAAATTTAATTTCAACCACAATCTCACTTCAAGTCAACTAATCCATACTTTAAAAATGTCTACTAAACTAAATATGTACACTCCGTCAAAACGATACTTCACATCATTGTGCAACAGCAATTGCAATCTTCCTCTTCTTCCTCCTTTTCCTGCACTTTCTCTTTGGCAATTACTCCCAATTTGTTTTTAATATGTGTGTCGACTTGTTCACGCATCTCTCGCTCAAAGCTTTTATCATAGTCTTCTGCAGCCTTGTCTTCATATCGGTATGGGTAACTGTTGTTAATATTTCCACCGAATACCTCACTTTCTTTTCGACCCCAATTTAAATATTGCCATCCATATACATTCTCACTTAATCCATCTTCATTGCCATCATGTTCAACTACTTCTTGTCCATCATCCTCTGAAACATGTTGAATTTCAACACCTTCATCTGAAAAATACTTTCGAAGCGGCTGTGAAGAAACATACACAACAAAACAAGCAAAAAATACGGAGAAATTCACTAATTTAGACATTGTTTTTAGCAGACTTGTCTGAATTTAACTGAAAAAACATTTTTTAATTATTAATTTCAAATTAAACATATTATGCAAATTAAAAATAAAAAATTATATAATTATGAGAGATTTTCTAGCATAGATAAATAATATCATTAACTAACACTTATGGGAAACAATTAAAACTTATTTTGTTTATTTATTTACATAAAATACAAACAGTGTTAAGCGCTTTATTAATTATTTACGATGGCATGGTAAAATGCGAGTGAATGCTAAGGGGGGGGGGGGGATTTTTAATCAAGTCCTCTCTCCACAGCATGGCAATTGATTTACAGCCTGTCATGCTAAAAGCAAAACACGATAAGAATCAAAAATCAATTTATTATATATAAAATTTAAATAAAAAGTTTTAAGAAAATATTTCTGAACAATGGTCCCGTAATGGAGAAATGAACATATGTCCATTGCTTAAGATTCTACTTTTACCTTGAAAATTGCTTTAAGAATACTCTACTTTCTATGTAGTGTTGTGTCCAGTGTTGCAAAAGTTCCAAAATTTCTCTGGAACCGGTTCCAGTTCTGGAACCGATTTTTAAATTTAGGCGTTCCGGTTTCTGTTCTTGAACCGCTTTTTTAAGTTTGGCGGTTCCAGTCCCGGTTCCAAACCGGTTCCAGGGTGTACATTTGGAACCGGTTCCAAACCGGTTCCAGGCCTTTGCCAGTTCCACAGTTCCAGTTCTAAACCGCAGGCCTTTACCGGTTCCATGGGTCAAGTTCCGGAACTGAAACTTTTGCATCATTTGTTGTGTCCTATAAATAATCTGTGAATCGATGAAATAGTTTGTTTGTGTGTTTTTTGGGCAGTGAGTGAGTTTTTGGGCAGTTTTTCCTAACTTTTGGGCTGTGAGGAAACGAGGGCTTTGCATATAGTAGTGATTTACGGTGAGGAACTCATTCGAATAAGCTATAGCTTTTGAGAAGGGTCCCTGAACTCATCGAGTTACGTCAATTTGAGTTTTTAACCCAACCCAATTTAAATGAAGGATGGAGTTATGCGGCTCAGACCTTTCGGTCTGGCGCACCTTCATAGCGCCGGTTTGGAGTTGAGGATTGAGTCGGGGAGGATTAAATTTGAGTCGACATATAGTAGTGATTTACGGTGAGGAACTCATTCGAATAAGCTATAGCTTTTGAGATGGGTCCCTAAACTCATCGAGTTACGTCAATTTGAGTTTTTAACCCAACCCAATTTAAATGAAGGATGGAGTTATGCGGCTCAGACCTTTCGGTCTGGCGCACCTTCATGGCGCCGGTTTGGAGTTGAGGATTGAGTCGGGGAGGATTAAATTTGAGTCGGGGAGGATTGAGTTGGGGAGGATTAAGTCGGGGAGGATTAAATTTGAGTCGGGGAGGATTGAGTTGGGGAGGATCAAAATAAAGAAAATTGAAAAATAATTTGTAGTTGTTTGAGGAGTGTGTTAGTGCTTCAATGCTTCTATTACTGTAGGTGCTCAGAGGTTGTTTTTCCTTGAAAATAATTTTCTTTGAAAAGCCCGAGATTGCCAAACATAGCTATAAATAAATCCACTCTACAATCACAAGACCTTTCCAATATATTGTTAATTGATTTTGAAAGCTTGGCAGGCAAATAGCCAAATACATTTATTGATTAATAAAAATTTACACGCCCAAGATATATGTTGTGTTTGCGGTTGTTTTCAACAACGCAAACAAATGCAACAAGTTGTAAATGTGTTTGCGTTTGTTTTTTATTGCCAAATCTGATATGTAGGAGTTTATAAAAAATTGAAATTTTACCCCAACTTAATTCAAATGGAAGATGGATTTATGCGGCTCAGACCTTTCGGTCTGGCGCACCTTCAGAGGCTGGTTGGCGATTCAAGGATTGAGTGGGAGATGCGGAGAGGACCTATTGATAATTAATTAAAATACTGACTAACATTTCTATTCAAATAGACTCGATGTTTAAAATGTTTTTCTATATTTTCTTTGAGTTCCAGGGTTTAAATTAAACAAACAAAAATTCAAATTTATATAAATTTTATGCTACTACTAGATTTTATGAAATAATGAATTTCGAAAATATAAAAGTTGGTTTCTTAAATTTAATAGATAGTAGTTTACAAATCACTTTACTTTCGACCAAAGTTTTTTTTACATTTTTCGCAAACTAAAGATAATATACTTCAAAAATGCTTTACTAAACTAACATCCAAATTTAACAAAAAACTCTTCACATAATTGTACATCCGCACCCACAATCCTCCTCATTTTTGGACGCTTTTGCCTCCTCATATTGGGGCAAGTTCGCTTCCTCATTTACTTCCGTCTTATTTTCATGATGAGTTCGAATCTGTTCTTCCAAATCCTTTGGTGCTAAAGTTTTATAGATGTTAGTTTTTTTGGCCTTTTTTTGTTTCTCAGTGTGGCCATAGTTCCTTCCTGGAGTGAAAACTTCAATTCCTTCATCATGATGAACTTCTTGGCCTTGTAAATTTCCCTCAGACACATGTTGAATTTCAACTTCTTGTGTTCGATGTTGACGCATTGAAAAAACACAAATATCGAAATATGCAATAAATGTGAAAAGAATTAATAATTTCGACATTGTAGGTTTAGAATAATTGGAAGAATTTGCTAAAAATTTATTTTTTTTTATTAAAATAGAGAAAATTAAATATGTAATACTTTGTAGATGTTTGGGGAGTGTGTTTATGCCCAGATGCTCCTATTACCCCCAGATGCTCCTAATTTGTTTATTTGAATAAATATTTTTTAAAGCCCGAGAATGAGAAGCATAGCTATAAAAACTCTCTAAAATGACAGGGCAATTGATTGTGAAGGCATGACAGGCTAAATGCCAAATGAATTAATTGATTAAAAAAATTTACACGTCTAATAAATGTATTTGCGTTTGTTTACAATATCGCAAACAAAGGCAAACACGTTGTCCAATGTGATTGCGTTTGTTTTTATGCCAAACTTGAAGTTGTCGGAGTGTGAAGTTGTCGGAGTCTAAAAATTTTTGCTGCGGCGCTGAAAAAGTGAATTTTTTTGGCCTTTTAATCCTCCAGTCTATCCTCCAATTTCCTTAAATCCTCCGATATCACTCAAAATCCTCTTTTAACCCAGATATCACCAAAAATATCCCCGATATCCTTTTAAATCCCTTAATCCCTTCAAATCCTCTGATCTCCCTAATATCTATTAGGTAAAAATTTTTTTAAGAAAATCCCGAAATCCCGCGGGATCCCGCTAAATTTTATAACGGGATTATCTGGATTACGGGATTAATCCCGGGATTTACGTGATTAATTTTTTGACAATTCTAGATCCCGGCAATGCGATTTTGCCGCACACTAAATGATTTTCTAAATTAAGCCTTTATTTGTTAAAATTGATCAAGCTTTTTATATTCAAAAAAATTTTTAATAGTTGGAACTAGAACTAGCTTGGAACTAGTTCCAGAACTGGAACTAGGGAATTTCAAAAATGAAGTTCCGGAACTGAAACTTGAACTAGAAAAATTAAAAACCTAGTTCTGAGCTGGAACTAGTTCCAGAGAAATTTTGGAACTTTGACATCACTGTTTAACAGAACCTTAAACATATTTTTGTATACAAAAATATGTCGAAAAAATTAATTTTATTTTAGGCTATCACAGCAAAAATTCTAAAAAATTTTTTATCAAAATTTTGTCTAAATACTTTTTTCCTTTTAACATTAAATAATTTTTCATATTTTTTATTTCTTATGTAATAATTCGTTAGCATTTTTCTCTTTTCATTTACACATTTATTTGTTTCAGCCTGCAGGCTTCTTTATGTTTTTAATGTTCTTTGTAGCTGATATTCATTGATACACTAATAATTAATTGTAATAGTGCACTCTGCCCTTTCTCTATTACTTTTTTATAAGCTTTTTTTGATCGTTTTTAGTGTTAAATTGTAACGCTTTGACAATGAATATTTTTAAAAAAATACACAAAAGATTACTTATTTTACTCCCTATTTAAAAATAAATTTAACGTTAATCACAAATAAATTTCATTAAACAAATTCACTGTTGAGCAGTCGCTAATGCTTTAAAAGTTTATTTTTGTGTATGCCTAAAAATAGTTTGGGTGTTGATGTTCTATGTATAAAAAACAATTTGAACATTTTAATGATAAAATTTTTCAATTATTTTTTTTGGAAATTCTTATTTATTTGACTATGAATAGGTTGCGGAGAATTATATAAAATAATTTTTAACTTACTTCCTGTTTAAATTATGGTTAAAATTTGTTCAAAAATAAATTTGTTTAAATCATCTTAATTGTATAGCATTCATCGTTCAAAATAAGATTTTTTGTATGCTTGAACATATTTCAGATAAAGGTTGATATTTTTCTTAACAAGGATTTTAATGATTTAAAATTCAAAAATTTTAAAATAATTTTTTCCTTCAATTAAATTATTTTACTCCTTATTTAAAAAAGAATTAAACTTTTTTAAAATAAATTAATTAAATAAAAAAAATGATCATTAGTTTTTTTGGCCAAACCAATGATTACATTTATTTTTGTATGCCTGAACATATTTCGGGTAAAGGTCAATTTTTATTTGTAAATAGAGGCAAAAATGTAGTATATGTCCGATCTCGCGGGTTATTAGTAGAGACTTGATTGAAGATCAAGAACGAAATTCTTGGTCATCGAGATCGATATTTTTCGAGATATCTCGTAAGACACTCCCAGTTCGGTCTCTAGTTATTAGTTTAATCGAGCATTAGGCTTAACGAATCCACAGGTGTTTGATTTCATAAAATACGGAGCAGTTCAACTGAGTCCCGGCTCAATTGAGTCCCGGCCCTATAACTCAAGTACGGGTTGATGATTTTTAATGTTTTTGGTACCATTTGATAGAGCGTTAGATGGACTACAATATACCAAAAAATCAGAATTTTTGACCAACTGATAAAAAAGTTATGATCTAAAAACTAACTTTTTCAAA